CTGTGGTCCTTGCATTATTTAGGTTTGCCATCTCCTGTCATTCCTATATTCTGATTATCCACATGTTTTGAGGTTTTCGTCGAAGTTAGTTATTTCGGATATATTACATCTTTTTACAAATATTCGAAAACCAATTTGAATTAATGGTCTTTTAAATTGTTTTTAGCATTTTTTTATTCCAGCTTAGTAAATGATTGGTCTGTTGAAGCCTGTCCTAGGAGATGGTTCTGCCTCCTAACGTTGTTAAGAAACAATACCTCCATGAATTTTGTGCCGTGGTTGGGTATTTTGCTTTATTAAGTATTGACATTTTCCTCTGGGTGGTGATTATTGTCTGCTTGTAACTTTGCCTTGGAGATAGCCCTACCATCTATCGTTGGCTAGAAACAATATCTCCTTGAATTTTGTGCAGTGGTGACTATCCGCATATGATGTTGCCTAATTTGAGGGAATGACAGCCTCTTTTTTACAAATATTCCGTATTAATAAATCTCTATTTTAGAGAAAATAATTTGCAAACGAGCAAAATTCAATAAATATTTTTTCCCACCCATGTTAATGATTTTTTTGTTTGCTTGTAACTTCCCCTATGAGACAGGACTGCCATCTATCGTTGGGTAGAAACAATACCTCCTTGAATTTTGTGCAGTGGTTGGGATCCTTCCTTTATTTAGTGTTGCAATTTTCCACTAGGTGGATTATTCTTTTGTGTGTGTTGATGTCGAGGTTGCTTATTTGAATGTCAAGGTGCTTCGGATATATTTCATCTGGTATGGGTATGAAAGTCTATTTTGTACAATAATTCGATATGCTTTCAATCCAAATATTCTTTTTATTTGGTGTTGTCGTTTTCCTATGGGTGGCGCTATCATCTGTCATTAATGATTTGTGTTGATTTAAATTTCAGGTGGTTTCGGATGTGTTTCATCTTTTTTGCAAATATTCGTAAATCACTTCGAAAGAATATTCCTACTTCGCTGGGATTCAAACCCAGAACCCATCCCATGATTACATCGGGATGTTGCAAACGAATTGACAAATTCAATATACACTCCAACTTATATGGGAGGTTATAAATAAATTGCGCCAATCAGGCCGGCCTGCCTGCCAAGCTCATAACTCAAAAGTGGCAAATAGTTTTAATTGCTAAATTATTATCAGCTTCTTTTTAGAGATGATCGGCAGTCGAGGTTTTTCAAAAAAAAAAAAATAAATAATAAGACAACGAAAGAGAAAAAGTCAAGTGGCGCCAGGAAAATATTGGCGAACACACTGACAAGATTGACTAGGGTTTGAGTGCCGCAATCTAATGATCATAACGCCGGAGGGGGAAGAGCCATAATCAGGTGTGGCGATAACACAACACACACATACAAATAATTATCAAAATAGTTCCTAACGTATTTTTTGGCATATTCTAAAAATATATTAATTTTTATTTTTAAATTTGGAAAGGTTTCGGAATTTGTTCCCCCTCTAAGTTAAGCAAAAAAATATTTTTTTGGACTTACCTTAATTTGGCAATGCTGCTGGTGGATGTGGAATTCCTTTTTTGGTTATGTAGAAGTCGGAGTAGAATAAAATTATAATTTTTGTTGTTTTTTTTTAATTTTGTTGTTGGTTGCCTATTTGCTTGTTTGGTGACCGGCTGGTTTGGATTCTTATCGCCACGAAACCACACTCTGTCTGTTTGTCAGTCTGGTGTCTTTTTTGCAAGAAAACGAAGAAAAAGCTGACGCTGATTTTTCTTTCTTTTTTGTCAAACAAGAAAACCAGGCACGCATAAAATTGTTATTAATAATTTATTATTATTTTGTTTTATTATTTTTAAAAACAATAAACATATTTTTCCCACAATTAGATAATGTTGTGCGGTATAGACCAGAGTAATGTATTTTCATTCATTCATTCACCACCATTACCGGCCATTATTCATTGTAAATCATTTTTTTTTTGAATTATCGCTTTTATTTTTCTATTTTTTTTTTTAATTTCAATATTTTTTTCAAAACTAGAAAAAATAATAAAAATCCAAAGAACCGCTCACTTTTTTTTTCGTTGTCGTGTTATATTAAAACCGTTTTATATTGTCCATGTCCAACCTTTCACGACAGCGTTTTTATTTAAACTGAGTAAGTCTCTCTATGGGTGTTCTGTCAAAACTCTGGAGGCAGAGATAAAAAAAACGGAAAGCTTTAAGCCACCACTCTTTTTTCGCTTTTGTATTTAATTAATTGTCACTGGCTGACGAGTGTCTTTGCAACGTTGTCTGTCTGGCTGTGTTTTTCGACTTGAAACTCAATTGTCTGTTATGCTACCCGCACTTCGACGGACGGTACATAGTTGCGATTTATACTCTTATTATTGTCTGCCCTGGGGCCAAACTCTTATGTGTCCACTGAGCAGATTAGCCCGAGATCTTAATGAGCAACAAAAGTCAACGATCCATCCACCACCCCGACACGTAAAAACAAAAAGCCGGTCTCTGTTATTGTTTTGTCTAGGAAGAGCTAAACAAATATTCAATAATGGAGAGATTATGTGGCAATTATGTGAGTGCAGAATTAGTTACACGTAACGGCGTGGTTGGTGTAAGAAATTGTTGGTGGTATACTTTTTGGTCCTTCGACCAAAATTGTTTCATAATTTGGTTTCAAAAAAAGATCCACAGTTGTGTTACAGAACCAGAAAAAGTGTTTAAGCCTTTTTCAGATGCCAAAGATAATAAATTACAGTTTATTTAGGGAGCTTCATTGTTTCATTTCATTGTTTTTATTGCAGGCAAGTATATTCCTGGTGATGGGGCTGTCATCTATTGTTTCCTAGAAACAACGTATCCTTGAATTTTGTGCAGTGGTTGGGGTCCTTGCTTTATTTAGTTTTGACATTTTCCTCTGGGTGGGGCCATCACCTGTCATTCCTATTTTCTGAATAACCGCATGTTTAGAGGTTGATGTCTAGAACCTGAATGTCAGAGAGCTTCAGATGTATTACATCTAGAGGGGGATGTAAGCCTCGTTTTAGAAATATTCGAAAAAACTTTAAATTAATGGCCTTCGCATAGTTGTTAATTATAATTTTTTATTCCATCTATGTTTATGATTGCTCTGTTTTAGGCCGCCCTAGCTGAAATTTTCCTCTGAATAGCGCCATCTTTTGCCATTCTGATATTTTTAGGTTAATGCCGAGGTTAGTTATTACAATATCAAGAGATTTAAGATGTATTACATCTGGAAACGAGTGCTAAGCCCATTTTTAAAATATCCAAAGCCCACTTTAAAATAGTTTCATCCTCAACAGGTCATGCCCATTTTACTCGATTAGTTATTGTGATATTTCGCTAATCATTTCATTGCTTTTTATTCCAGCGAAGTAGATGATTGGTATGCTGTAGAGCTCCCTATGTGATGATAGTGCCATCTATCGAAGCCTAGAAACAACGCTTTTTGAAGTTTGATCTGCTAGTGCCATCTGTCGTAACCTAGAAACAACGCCTTTTGAAGTTTGATTGCTCTGCTTTAGGCCGTTCTAACTGCCAATTTTCTCTGGATGGCGTCATCTCCTGCCATTCGTTTTTTTTTTTTGAGATTGATGCCGAGGTTAGTTATTACATTATCAGGGGATTACAGATGGAAGGGGGTGCCAAGCCCATTTTTAAAAATATCAAAAAACCCACTTTTAAATAATTTCGTCCTTTTCTTGGGAGCATAAGCATTCCGCAACAGATCATGCACATTTTATTCGATTAGTCCTTGTGATATTTCGCTAATCATTTCATTGCATTTTATTCCAGCAATGTAGATGATTGTTTTGCTGTAGGGTGCCCTATGTGATGAAAGTGCCATCTGTCGTAGCCTAGAAACAACGCCTTTTGAACTTTGTGCAATGGTTGGGATCTTTGCTTAGTTTAGTGTTGCTATATTCCTCTGAATGTGGCTATTTTATGCTATACTCATGTGTAAATGTTGATGCCAAAGTTGATTATCAGGAGTCGGGGGTTTCCAATACATTTCCTCTTTCGCATTGATGGTCTTCAGAAAAAAATCATTATTTGGATTGGTCGTTTATATATTTTTTATTTCAGTCTGCTTCTTCTGTCGCTGTCTAGAAACAACGTCTCCCCGAATTTTGTGCAGTGGTTTAGGTCCTTGTTTATTGTAGTGTTTCCATTAAACTCTAAGTAACCTTTCTTGCAAAAACAGCTGAACCTTCGGTCTCGTATGTATCGGTATGGTAGCGGAAAGGCCGTTACGTACTTTCTGAACATCCTCCGACGTTTTCAGGTTATATTGACCGAAGGTTTAGGATACATTTCTTTACAATAACAATTTAACGTAATGTTAAGAGGATCGCATATATATATATATATATATATTGTTTTTGGATCACGGCTTAAATTTCCATTTTATTATTTTTATTTGCATTTAAAACCGTTCGAATAATGGCAGGCGCCATCTATATATCATTTATAAAACAGATACAGCTGTTCTGCTATCAATACCAAGTGCATAGCAATGGGGAGCACTCACTTGAAGAAGAAGAATTATCTCAAAAAATTGTCTGTTGTCTGGCAGCAGAACAGCCAACGTAAATAGTAAATGAGTAGTCAGTGCAGCGGTATTGACTCCCTGTGTGTTGTTGGATGTTGTTTCTTACGGTAGACTAACATATTGTCCATTTGATACGGGAAAATTGTGCCAATTACTAATCACCTACGTACTGCCGTCGTTGTCGTCGTCGTGACTGTCGTCTTCTAAAACAAAACAACCGAAACAGAAACCTGTAAAATGAGAAAGTCGTGAAGTGTAATGATAATTATATTTTTATAAACATTGTGATATTTTCGTCTCCTCTTCTAAATTTTCAATTAAAAACTGTTTTCCGAACACGAATAAATCACCACCAACATCATATCAGAAATATGCTGCAGCAGCGTAACAACTTGTTTGGTGCCCCTAGCACCACCACCACCGCCGCTACTATTTTGGTAATTGCTTTGTTTTCATTTAATCTAATCGATGCCGGAGTTCCACGTTCCAGTTATGAGGCCCTAATGAAACAAGAATCTCAAGAGTTGGGCCTCTACAATCACACCGACAAAGTTCGCATTCTGACCAATGTCAATTTTAAGGATGAAGTCCTTAATCGCAACCATTCCATTTTGGTCGAATTCTATAACAGTTATTGTGGCCATTGCCGTAAATTTGCCCCCACATACAAGAAATTGGCAGCCGAACTCTATGATTGGCGTGATATTATACCAGTAGCGGCCATTGATTGTGCTGCGGATGAGAATAACGGCATTTGTCGTGAATATGAAGTAATGGCCTATCCAACATTGAGATATTTCGGTCCCGGCTATACACCATCGGATAGTAATTATGGCAGTCGGATAATGACCCAAGACAAGGAGCAGATACGTAGCATTTTAGCTGAATTTGTGGCAGCCGAAAACAAAACGAGCAACATGAGTTCCTGGCCTGACTTCAAACCTCTAGAGGCTTCACATACATCTTCCACGCCGGCTCTGTTTGAAGGTTTGGATAGTTTAAAGAAATATGTGGTGGTGGTCTACGAACGAGAGAACTCGACAATTGGTATTGAAACCATACTACATTTCGTCAGATATCCAAATATTGTGGTCAAACGCACCTCCAACTCTGAATTAGCTGCCAAATATCAACTGGATGGCACTCGTTATCGTATTGCCACCGTCAATCGGGATGGAACCATTGTACCATACAGCTCCTTGCATGAAACTTCCCTATCGTACAAGGAGACAATTGAAAGTTTCCTCAAATCACAACACATAACGGAAAAACCACCCAGTAAACATGAAAGCGATTCCACTTCCTCCTCCTCTTCGTCGCCGCATGCATTATCATCGGCCGAACATGAAGTTGCCAAAATTATCGAAGAAGTTAAACGTAACAAACATATGGTATATCAGGCTGATTTGGAAATGGCCGTACGGGGTATTCTCTACAATGAAATACCCAAATCGTCGAATATAAATGGTGAAAAAATGACTGCCCTGTTGCGTTTTTTGGGCGTCTTGGAAAAATATAATCCTCTCAGTAACTCGGGTAGAGCTTTGATAAAAGAATTAACATCGTACGCACGTAAACATAGTTCCGAGTTATCGGGTGGTGATTTTGAACAGGAATTACAACGACTGGAAAAACAATTGGGTAAAATATTTTCATCACATCGTTATGTCGGCTGTCAAGGTTCCCGAACGGGACTGCGAGGTTATACCTGTTCGCTGTGGCAATTATTCCATTATATGAGTGTTCAGGCGGCGACCGAAGATAAAAGTGATGATCCATTGGAAGTTTTACAGGCCATCCATGGTTATGTTAAGCATTTCTTTGGCTGTACCGAATGTTCGGAACATTTTCAGGTGAGTTTGAGATGTATGTTTGAATTTTTTATTTAATTATTTTTTGTATATTTTATAAGTTAGGCAGGATTTGGAAATGAGGCTTAGTTGCAATTTCTGCTCGATAATAGAGCAGTATGGTAGCTTATGTTGCATTTTATCGGAGCCTAGAGAGAATATATAATAAACCATCGAACATTCCTATATATAGAAGTTGGAAATCGATGAATTATATGAGAATGGTTTAGTGGGAGAACTTTCAGTGGTATTTTATAGACAATTTAATTTTAGATAGGTATTCATTTTAGGAATGTTTTTTTATAGAACATCAAATCATGAAATTGCATTTCCGAAGGAAAGACGAGTACTTATTTATTGAAGAAGACCTAATGGAGAAAAGTTAGGAACAAGTCTAGTTTAGGGTCCGATCACGTAGAAAGTTATCCGGAGGTCGAGAAATGTACTTTTTGTCATATCCTAAATGATGTGCGGATTTTCATTATCTTAAGGAGAACTTTCCTTGAAAAACATAAATATCTCATAGAAAAGTATATAGAAGTCGTGTATAGAGTTTTTTAACAAAAGATCAATCATAGTATCCTCGAGGATTCAACTGGGAACAGAAGATTTTGTTTTCCTAGAAAACTCCATGATAATATCGAGATGAGATGATTTACTTCCCGAAGGACCAGACACTTCTTTTGTAATAAAAGAGCACATCTATCCAAAAAATCGTTAAATATTTAGAGAATATTTTTAAACTCTACACTTTCATATGTTCTTCTTTTCTAGAAAAATGTGTCAGAAAAAATTTGAAGATGTTGTGACATCTTATCTGTCCCTTCTTCGTCGTCGTCGTCGTCGTCAAGATTAAAACATCTATTGAAATATTATCAACCAAACAAAAGCGAGTGCTCCACTTGAAGATAATAAAATGTATTGTTACTTTTGACATCTTCTCCTTCTTTATTATCATCGTTTTACATTTTTATTATTATTTTTTGCATATATACAGCAGAGCTCATGATAATTGCCGTGGCATTATAATTACAGTGAGCAAAAAAACATTCACTTAAACGAAAGTGATAATTTATTCAATTTTTCTATTTTCCAAAGTGTGATTTTTTTGCAATATTTGCTGTTTATGGCTAGACAGCCTAATTCTATCTCCGCTTGGTGTTGACCTTACCCCTCTGTGTACACATTTTACATTACTCTCTCCGTTAAGCTTGACCACCACCAGAGACCGAAACTGGTGCCGGTTGCGCTCACACATCTGAAAACAGATTTGAAAACATTTCTAAAACTGTCGTCACAGCTTTCACTTGCTTTGGCTTTGTATGTATGGAAAAAATGCTAGCTTTGTTGTTGATTCTATCTTTCTTTCGTTTGTTGTTATTGTTATTTTTCCTAATTCAATTATCGAACGAGCTAATGATTGTGAATGACCGACCGGTTGCTTAACCATATTATAGAGAAATGTATCTTAATTTAAATTCAATAAAATTGTTTGAAAAGATTTTTTTTTTTTCATTTATAGCTAAAAGATAGGAGCTTTTGATTCCGACGACGACGTGTTTATACCAGGAAGTTTAAAGACAATTATATGTTATAATAAAGTCTGTCTTGTACTCATTTTCTTTTTAGCGGCGTGGTGTGTTGAAACATTCTGACGAATGACAATTATTCGGTTGGATAAATATTTGTGTATATTGTAGTATGTTTGTATTGAAACATAAACCAGAATAACGTAATGTGCAAACACAAAAAACAAGTGGCACGTTTATTTTAGAAACAATGACTGGCAACAACAATTATTTATATAAAACAATGACAACAAATTAGTAAAATAGAACAGAAATTAGTAATTCGGTCAGGTCGATTCTTGGTTACCCTTCTCAACTCAAAATATTTAAATAACAGGAAGAATTTTCATAGAGGAACAGAACGTCTTCTCAAGAAAGTACAGAAAGTCGTATTTATAGAACAGAGCCGAAAATCTTCATCACAGAAGAGCAGAAGGCCTTCTTCGGAGAAGAGCAGAAGGTCTACTTTTTAGAAGAGCAGAAGGCCTTCTTCGGAGAAGAGCAGAAGGCCTTCTTTTTAGAAGAGCAGAAGGTCTTCTTTATAGAAGAGCAGAAGGTTTTCTTTATAGAAGAGCAGAAGGTCTTCTTTATAGAAGAGCAGAAGGTTTTCTTTATAGAATAGCAGAAGGTCTTCTTATAGAAGAGCAGAAGGTCTTCTTTATAGAAGAGCAGAAGGTCTTCTTTATAGAAGAGCAGAAGGTCTTCTTTATAGAAGAGCAGAAGGTTTTCTTTATAGAAGAGCAGAAGGTCTTCTTTATAGAAGAGCAGAAGGTTTTCTTTATAGAATAGCAGAAGGTCTTCTTATAGAAGAGCAAAAGGTCTTCTTTATAGAAGAGCAGAAGGTTTTCTTTATAGAGGAGCAGAAGGTCTTCTTATAGAAGAGCAGAAGGTCTTTTTCATATTCTTTTCGTAGAAGAACGCAAAGTCCTCTCCCAAAAGGCGAGTTTGTTTACTGATACTAGTCTTCTCGCGGAAGGACATAACTTATTCTCACAGAAGTGCAGAAGATTTTCTAAGCAGAAGCTCTTCTGATAGAACAACAGATGGTTCCATAGAATAGCAGAAGGTCTTCGATGCCCAAGAAATCATAAAACAGAAAGTCTTCCGTCGCCGCGTAATAGACGTATTCACATCGCAATTCAGAAAGTCTGCTCCTAAAAGACCAGCAGTTTCTATCAAAGAAGTTCAGCAGTTCTCATCAGACCAGAATGATAGAAGACAAGGACATTTTATTGAGGACCATAAGTCTTCTTAAAATATACCACACAATCCCAACATGTCTTTTCAAAAAATATCAGTATTTCTTCTCATAGAAGTCCAGTAAATCAGGATATAGAATAGCAGGAGATAAATGACCAGGAGGTCTTCTTATAAAAAACAAGGAGGCCTTCTTATAGAAGCTGTTCTCAAATGGAAGAGCGTACAGTATTTTCATAAAGGCCCAGATGATCCACTGATTGAAGAACAGAAGATCTTCCCTAAATACTTGAGCTTTTCTCATCAAAAATTAGGACTCAAAAGATCTCCTCGAATACCATTCGAGGAAGAATTCCATAAGAAAGGTCTTCTCATCATAGAGTAGGATCAAAATGTCCTCTCATAAAGAAGAAAAAGTCTTTTAATGGAGAAGCTGCAGGACCTCTCATAGAGGAACAAAAGGTTTTAGAATAGATGAGGATTTATTAATTGAATTACTAGGAGCTACTAATTAATTTAACCTTGAAAACTTAATTTAACCTTGAAATCTTTAATATTTTTTAGGAAATGGCAAAACGACGACACATCTTCAATAATCCAACCAAAGATGATGCTGTTCTATGGCTATGGGCTGCACACAACGAGGTAAATCAACATTTGGCCGGTGATGATACGGAGGATCCGAAATTCCCCAAAATACAATTCCCCACAGCATCCAGTTGTCCGCAGTGTCATAAATCAAAAGCATCCGCTGCTTCTTCTTCCTCGGCCACTGCCCATGATTGGGATAACGAACACGTTTTGAAATTTCTAAAAAATATACACAATCCCGAATTTGTTAGCCGTTACGGTGTTGAGGATCATGAACTACTAACACCCACACTCGACAAATTACGTCAGAAACGTATGATCGGCAATGTTTTTTCCGACATGGATATGGGCATGGGAATGCTGTTATATGGATTTTGTATTGTAATGTTGGTGGTGGCATTTAAATTATTTGCTGTTAAAAAGTCAGGTTATAGGAAAAAACCCTATGGCCATGATTTGTTGGGTAAAGTGTAACATGATGAAACACACCGTCTTCCCCCATTCAGCAACAATCCAATTCCAATCAATGATAATTAGAAAAAAAATGACAATGCGGTAATCGTCGTCTAACTAACGATTACTGCTATTCGATTTAGTTTAAGACAAACGAAGTTTTATTCAAACTCTCAGCATAATTCCAATTTTGTTTAACTTCTCTGCTCGTTTTTTCTCCTGTAAGCATTTCTGTATATATGACTTTTTAAACAAATTATTAATTATATGTATGTATAGGTATAGTATAAAGTTAACAATTATGTATGTGTGTTTCGCGTTATATATATATTTTTTTATCATCATTATTATCCATATCCTTAAATCTTCCTCAATCATGTTAAATGTTTTTTATACACATTATTTAAATGAAACGATCTACGATCTACATAGAGTAAGTTTCTAATGAATAGAGAACACGAACTGCATATATAAATAAATATAAATGAACACCTAATAAATCAAAAACATTTTACAAAATTGCCAAGACTAGTTTAACTTGTTTTTTATTTCTATTTTGTATTCTTTACTGCTTTTCCACAAACGAGGCAACACGCCCTCCCTTGGAGATAAATATGCACTTGTTAGCTTGATCACACACACACTCACTCGGTTTTCTGTAACAATTGTTGCAGTAGCTGTTGTTGTAGTTTGAAGAACAAGTATTTTCATGTGTTTTACAGATTGTCTGGTTATTGAAACTTTTGTTAGTTGTTGGGTATTATTTACATTGTTAGAAAGAATGTTCTACAATATGAGATAAATTGAGCTATATCTAAAAAAAAAAATATTTTTTTAATAAAAAAGGCAATAATTGCCTTTTTTTAGGCAATTATTATTTTGAGTCTTTGAAAAAATATTTGTTGACAAATTTCCCCTAACACATTCGGGATTTTGGGAGTTTTTTCTTTTAGAAGATCTTTTTTTTTTTTGCTGTTCTCATCGATGAAAAGAAGATATTTTCATAGAAGTCCGTTCTTATAAAAGACAAAGAGGCCTTATAGAAGATGTTCTCTGATGGAAGATCGGACAGTCTTTTCATAAAGACCCAGATGGTCTACTGATTGAAGAACAGAAGATCTTCCCTAAAGACCTTAAGCTTTTCTCATCGAAAATTATGACTCCAACGATCTCCTCAAATACTAGGTGGCCTTCTCATAGAATTTCATAGAAGACTAGGATGTTTTTTTCAAAGAAGACCAAGCATTTTTCCAATAGCAACAGGTCTTCTGATAGATGACCAAAAGAGGTCTACATTAAGATTTTCTCACCGAAAATTATGACTTCAACGATCTCCTCAAATACTAGGTGGCCTTCTCATAGATTTTATAGAAGACTAGAATGTTTTTTTCAAAGAAGACCAAGAATTTTTCCAATAGCAACAGGTCTTCTGATAGATGACCAAAAGAGGTCTACTCATAAACCAAAAGGTTTTTCCATAGAATCCGCAAAGTTTTTCCTATTCATAGAAGACAAAATACATTTTCAGAGAATTCTGATCAATTTGTTATCTATGAGACTAAGAAATATTCCCATAGAAGACCTCAAAAATGAAGACCTCATAGAAATCCGGGATTGTCTCCCCTTTGAAGAATAGAATTTCTTCCCATCGACCACCAGAATATCGTGCTAGGAGATCTTCCCATAGAAGATAATGAGAAATTCTCATAGAAAAAAATATAGACTCTAGTAGATCTATAATTGTTCTTAAAGAAGACGACGAGTTCTTTTCATAGAAGTTCAAAATGCCTTTTCACCAAAGGGGTTGAGATTTTCTCATCGAAAATTAGGAATGTTTCTTCTGAAAGACCAGGAGATCCTTTTATGGAGTCAAAAGGTCTTCGTAAAGATAAGGAGGTCTTCACATAGAAGAAAGGTAGGTCTATACAGAGTGAATTTCTTCTTATGCTTTTTTATAGAAAGCCAAGGACGACCATTGTGGGGTCTTTTCTAGAAGGCCAATGGGGTGGTTTTCTAGAAGACCAATGGGGTGGTTTTCTAGAAGACCAATGGGATCTTCTTATAGAATACTATATGGGTTCTCTTAAAGATTTTCAATGGGATTTTATTTTTGGGTATTATCATAGATGACAAGAAAGGTCATGAGGTCATTTAGTATAAGTTCAAGATGTCCTCTTATAGTAGATCCAGAGGTCTTTCCATAGAAGACCAAAAGTTATTTTATAAGGGTTCAAGAATTCGGGAGAGGTTTTCTCAAAGATGACCAGTTGGTCTCCTCATAGAAGACCATGAGATAATTTTACCGAAGACGATGAGTTCTCCTTATAGACGACAATAAGGTCTATCCTATAGTAGAACGTTTTCTTATCGGTCTGACCAGGGGGCCTTCTCGTAAAAGACCAGCATGTTTTTGCAAGAAAACAAAGAATTCTTTCAATAAAAGCAGGTTTTCTAATAGATTACTAAAAGATCCTCTTTTTGAAGACCAAAAAGTCTTCTTATAGAAGATAAATAGGTATTTTCATAGAAGGCCGAGAATTCTGAGAGACCAAGAATTCTAACCATAGAAGACCTCTAGATAAAAAGTCTTCCCATAGAAAACCTCTGGAATGAAGTCTTCACATAGAATATCATTAGGACATCTAAAATGTTTCGAGGAAGAATACAAGATGAAAGGCCCTTCTCAAAGACGGCCCAATACCAACAGGTCGTCCCATAGAATACCGAGAAGTCTTCACATAGAAGACATATAAATCTCCTCAAAGTCCTTTCATTGAGGACCAGTTGGCCTATTCTGTAGCTTTTTAACAACATTCGACACTGTTTATTTTACAACAATTTCATTTGTTTGTTTTGTTGTTTTTAAAATAAAAAAATAAACAATATCGAATGTTGTTAAAAGTTACAGAATAGGCCTACAGGGGATATTATATAAGGAAAATATACCAAAAGTTCATCTCACACAAGACATTTTATAGAAGGATAATAGGCAAATATTCAGGACTTCCCACGGAAATAAGGAGGCCTTCTTCACATGAAATTTCTTCATAGAAGACCTCGGGAGATAATATATCCCAAGAATATCCTGAAAAAGATTACCAATGTTTTTTATTATTTCTAAATCTTTGAGCACATTTATTAAAACCAAAACTACGACAATGCCATATGCGGCTCCATCGAACTTCTTCGAATTTTCCTAGTGATAATACATACCTCTGCAATCCAATACATAATAGAAACCATATCAAATTTTCTTTATACAAAAAAGAGAGTATATATTTTGTTTTTGTTTTCTTGTTTTGCTGACATGAAAGTTACAATTACATACAATCATTTTTTATTCATATCTCTTATTTTTGTGGTTGTTGTTCTGAGTTAGTACACGAAAAAGTACAAAATACAAGTGTATAATCTTCTTATCTCTTTGTTATTTTATGTTCAATATTTATGTGATTTTTTTTGTAAATTTTTCTTAAAAATATGAAGTTTTATTACATAAAATTTTATTAGCAAAATTTTTATAAACAAAACGAAACAATTATACAAAATTAACAAAAAATTTGTTTGTGCAATAATAAATATAATAAAAACATGATACTTCACGACAATTGACTTGCAAAAATCAAAACATCACAGTAATAAACTGTGAAAAAGGGAGATTTGAAAGGCTGAGAAAAATATTTAACAAAAAAACAAAAATGAGATTCAGGATCCTCATTATCATTGATAATAAATTCATGTTTAAAAAATGGTGATTACAAAAGTGTATAAAGTTTTTGTTGTTTTGTAAATGCATACATCATTATTTAATTTGGGTTCTTTCGTCATGCTTCATTATTTTTTTATTTCTTTTCCAATGCGATTATTTGACTGACTGTTTCTAATCAAAGTTTTACTTTTCTTTTTAAGCAGCATGCACAGACTGAAAATAAAAATAAGAAAACAAAAAGAAGAAAACTCAATTTAAAAAGAATTCTATTATGAGGAGGAGATTCCATTACAAGAAGAAAGAGAAAGATACATGGTATATTATAGGTATAAATTTGTTAAGTGAAAAAATTGTAATTGATTGTAAGTAGTTGCTGTTGTTGTTTTTTTTTCTGTTTCTTTTAAGTCTTATGTTTGTTAACTAAATTGCCTTTTGCAATAAATACTTTTTTTGTTCAGTTTCTGGCACATAAGAATATCTGAGTTCACAATAAATGACACTCACGCGGAGGCTAAGTGAGTGTGTGTTTGTGTGTACTTATATAAATGCAGGATTGGGACGTACCCGAGCAATATCGACACCGGTTATATTCTTAACCAATTCTGGTACTTTATTGACAATTTGTAAAACTTCGCCAGTTAGCTTGGCAGCACCAATTTCACCCTGTCCGGATGATACCATGGTGATTTTCTTGGCCTGTGACAGTGGAGCAGCAACTTCAGCGGCCACCTTTAAATTGAAAAACAAGATTTTTAGTATGTGGAAATATATAGGTTTATAAATTAGTAATCTTACCTTGGGTAATGTGTCTAATAACATTTCAACCATGGCTGCTTCACGATATTCACGCCATGCCTCAGCCTTTTGGCTCATTTGTTCGGCCTCAGCCTTGGCCTTGACGGCAATGGCAAATGCCTCGGCTTCACCGCGAATTTTGATCTGCAAGTAAAATAAATAGAAAAAATTATATAATTTGTAGATCAAGAATCTCTAGGCGGTCCACATTTCTTTTCCGAAAGTTTTGAATTCTAAAAGTATTGGAAAACCTGAAGGTATTCTGTGAGAAAGATCATCTGCTCTTCTATGAAGAAGACTTTTAGCTCATCTTTGAAGAAGACCTTCAGCTCTCTGCTATGAAGAAGACTATCTGCCTCTTCTATGAAGATCTGCTCTTCAATGACGGAGAGCTTCTATGAGAGAACTTTCTGCTCTTGATTGAGAAGACATTTAGCTCTTTTATAAAAACCTTCCTTCTGGATATATTTACGACGCCCTTGACAACCAAATTTTTAATACTCACCGATTCAGCTTCGGCCTCAGCTTCCATAACGATACGCATCTTATTGGCCTCGGCAATTTTTTCCAAACGATATTTCTCAGCCTCAGCTGGACGACGTATTGTTGCCTCCAATTCCCGTTCACGTCTTTGTATCTCCTGCTGTTGTACAGCAATCTCTTGGGTGCGTTCAATTACCTTAACTTGCATTTGTTCTTCCTTGATGCGTTGTTTGGTCTTAGCCGCTTGCAATTCATAGGCCATTTCAGCTTCAGCTTTTTTCGTTTGTACTTCAACGTCGTATGCGGCTTTTTTAATTTCAAAATCACGTTGTGCCTTAGCGATTTCGGTGTCGTTGAGAAAACGTGAAGCCATACGTTGTTCCTCGGCAATGGCCTCCTTGATTTGTGCATCGCAGCGTGCCTCAGCTTCACCAATACGTGCATCGCGTTTAACTTCGGCGGTACGAGCCATACCCAAAGATTTCAAATAGCCCTAAATTGAATATGCATCACACAGAAGATAAGAGATTTAGAATGCGAACGATACAATAATGTACAGCAAAAACAACAGTTTGTTTGGATATAAAGTTTTAAAATGGGTTAAATTGAACAAAACTGGAATGTTTTTACCCTATGGACCATTATTATAGGTTATGTTATTGAGGATTTAACTTTTGAATTTAAAATAATACACAGAATATTCATAGGTTCGAAAAATGGAACCAATACGGCCATATAGAATAATTTTTTTATACACATCTGAAATATTTTCCGATTTTGTTTTTTACAAACTGTTGCCTTCTTAACATGGACTATTTTATTAACACAAAGTTACAACAACTAAAGCAACAAACATTTTGTGCAACATAAATTACATTGTAATCTCTAGAGTCCTACCTTAGATGCTCCCTGTTGTTATCATATATAAAAGTGTGTGTATTTTTTAAAAAATAAAATAAAAAAAGAAAGAAAACAAAAAGTTCATTCCAAAATAAAAAATTGTAAATTTCTACTCCCCCTCCTTTTAATTTGTACCTCTTCCTACTTACCTCTTCATCGCGTATATCTTTGATGGTATAGGAAACCACTGAAATTCCCATATTGGCCAAATCCGATGAAGCCACTTCAAAGACTTGTTTGCTGAACTTCTTGCGATCCTTGTAAATCTCTTCAACAGTCATGGAACCCATAATGGCACGTTGATGTCCCTCGAGGGTAACCAAAGCAATGTGACGTATTTCCGATTCTGGTTTACCCAAAAATTGTTCACAAGCCGTCAGCAACATATCTTCGTTTTGTCCTTGAATTTTTACTTGGGCAATTCCCGTAACAGATATTGGTACACCTTGACTGGTATAGACACAGGGACTTTCAACTTGTAAAGTCATGGTGTTTAGAGATATTCTGTGAAAGAGGATATTTGAAATATTTGTGGTGTGGTTAAGTTCGGTCGGGATGAAATTTTTATAATCTCCATTCAAAATAAGTAATGGTACAACCTGCCAGGAGAAAATTAAATAACAAACTATAGACTCTCAGGTTGGAGAATTGGTCTAGAACCTTGAACATACCGTAATGCTTAAAATACCAAAAATGGATTGTTCGTAACATGAGGGATAAACCAAACTAGGACAGATTTTGATCATTTTTAGTTGGAAGATTTGATACCCAAGGAGAACTCAAAATAAATAGTTTATAATATATGGTATACCTTCCTCTTTTGTTTCTATCTCAAAATAATAGATTTTTATGAATAATATAATAACACATCTTTTTGAAAATCTCTTAGAAGTTAAATCTATTGGTGAAACAACTTATGAATTGAGTTGTAAAATTCTAAAAATTTACACACACACTCAAACATACCTTTGAACTTGTTGGATAGTTGGCCATACAAAGGCACGTCCTCCGGGCACCAACAATGGTTTCATATAACAACATCCTGTAAATAAATAAAAAACGGAATTTGAGCAATCTCAAAACATAACGGTAAATAATCGTTACAAATATCATTTACGAAATCGAAAAAAATCATCTCTAGTTAGAATTTAAAGAAGAAATCGATAAATTTCTACATATATGACGTCAAAATGCTGATATCACCCAGCACAGCAGCTCCTTTCTTCATGTTAAACCACTTTTTGTTCTACATTGAAGAAGAAAAAAGTGTGTGTTCCATATATATTATATACTACAGCCGGTAGAAAAACAACTCCCATTGTTGTTGCACATCATGTTACTGGAAATATTCAAAAATAATTACATTTTTTATGTTCTAAATATTACCTGAAACCACAAGGGCCTCATTGGGACCGCAAGTCACAAAACCCCAAGCCATTTATATGCTTTGTGTGTTTTCCAAAATGCTATTTTGTAAAAGAAATAGAAACACCAACGGAATATCAGACGATTATAAATAGATTTTGTTTTAGAACACCAACACTGCTTTGTGCGTAGTAAATAATATTAATTGAGTAATTAATAAATTGGCAAAAAAACAATAAAATTTTGTTTTTTTGACAGTAACACTGGCAGTCGAAAAATTCTGAATATATACTAAATATTATGGCCGGCTTGATGTTATTTGGCTGTGGCCCACTAGCTACCTTTTTGCGCAGGACCGGGCCAATGTAATGTTTACCTTTGCGAAGGAAATTCTGACAATAAAAACAAAAGATTCTTTCAATGGTCAAGTAATGTCAATATGAAATTTCGAAAAAAACGCTTTTTTCTGGTATTCACACAGAGTTGTATGGCTGCACTGTTGCAAATGTTAGGAAATGAAAATCAGGGTTGTTATTTGTTTATAAATTTCAATTTGTTTTAATTTTTTATAATTTTTTTTTTTAATTTTTAATTTGTTATAAAGACAGACTAAAAAAAATAGAATATGGAAAATCGTACCCCCGCCCAAAACATGTGCTGTATTTAAACGTTAACCAGTAAATAAACTGAAGTCAGCAACAAAATTGTTGTTATTATAGATAATTTTATACTGTAAATTTCTTCAAAACAATTGAATATATATATATATATATATATATAGTTTCATGTTACTTTAATGCGCTTAGTCGAAAAAAGTACTGGGAAAGTTAAAAAATACAAGAAAATTTTGAAATTTTTGTTCAAAATATATGGCTATATATTCGGTATTTACATTATATATACAGATTTCTCTTGTTCAGTGACGTATGCTAAACATTGATGGAGAATATTTTTGTGCCTTATACCATCTTTTTAAAACGACATGCCCAATAACTTATATTAACTTATATATAAAAAAATCCGAACAAAGAATAAACTAAGTAAATTAAAAATACATAACAGTAAAAAAAACACTACAAAATGAAATTTAATGCAAACAACAATATAACAGATTCCAAACAAGAACCCCAATCCACTGCACTCTACTTAACTGTCGCTAAGAAAAGTGGAGGGGAAAGGAAGCTTAAGGAATCCTTCATATATAGATATACTATATATTCCTCTCGAGCCCAAGAGCAATATTAGAACCACAGACATTAAATTTCATATGTATAAATCTATAGCATAAATAAAGATGAGTAAAAACCAGTAATAAGTACGATATTAACCCTAAAATGAATTTTTGTTTTTTTTAAGACTTTTGACGTTTAGTCTGAGTTTTGAGCTTTAGTCCATTCTGAGGCTTATAATAAAATATTATGGCAAACATTTCTGTTGAATATTCTGAGCAGCTGTAACCCCGTTTTGAATGAGTTTTCAATCACTTCTGGAAAAGGGGACGGAAAAAACCCTTTCAGTGAGTCGGTTGAGGGTTAAAATTGTATACTAAAATATATTAATTTTTTATCAATAATATTGCCGAAGACACTATATACCTAAAATGCAAGTATTTCAAGAAACCATAATTCGAAAATGATCAAAATTCTTGAAAAGGGAAAATATTGGCCCGCCGATACACGTGTCTTCTTTTTTTAGCCTTTCTTTCATATTCTCTTGGAATTTCCCGGTATTTAAAATCTTAAAATACTTTCTTTAAAATTTGTTGAATAAAAAATGCCTACATTTGAAGTGAAATCTTTTTTGTGGGGAGAAAATAAATTTCTTTTGAGATATGGGGTTTTCGAATAAGCAATGGAAGAGACTCTCTAGATCAAAAGGTCTTTCAAAGAGAATTGAATAGTATTTTCAGTGATGTAATTAAGGAAGCAATTGTGATGTAATTGGAACAGGATGAATACAATCCTTGGGGAAACACCCGCTACAGATAGCAACAGCTAGAATTGAAGGATTCCAACCTTATCCTTTTTCGGTTTCAAATTAATTATCTTAATTATATTTATGGATGTAATTACAGAAGCAATTGTGATGTAATTTGAACAGGATGAATACAATCCTTGGGGAAACACCCGCTACAGATAGCAACAGCTAGAATTGAAGGATTCCAACCTTATCCTTTTTCGGTTTCAAAAAATCTTAATTATATTTATGGAGAAATATATCCCTCCGTATTTTATTTCATAATAATAAGACCAGACACAAATTTTCCGATAATAAAAGCTAGACAGCTATTACACAAGGCCATTGAAACTTCAAAAAAATTGCTCTGTTCGTGTTGCCTTTGTCAATCAATAGGGCAAATCCTATATGCCACATAGAAAGTAATTTTTAGATAGCACTGTATTAGTTTTTTTTAATATTTGCGTAACTTTCACATATGAATCTAATATAGAATTATGATAACACTTGACACGTTCAAGTGGTAGACATAACCACCATATCGATGTTAAAAAAGATAATACTTTCATGAACAAAATATAGTAGTCAATTGATCAATATTAACCCTTTCAGTGTATTTGTCGAATATATTCGACATTTAAAATTACTCTCTTTGCAATTTTTCGGTTATCCTATGTACCGTTACAATCGATGTCTTTGTTTTTGCTGAAAGGCAGACAAAACTGTCCGAGGGTTAAAATAAGAATTGCTTTTTTTTCTAAACTCTGTGCCTTCATATGATTTTAAGTACAAAATTTTAGATTTGTATCCCGAATTTTTTTTTTTTTTTTTTTTTTGACACTGAAAGGGTTAATATTTTAGACAGAGTATATAATACTTTTTAGACAGACTATATAATACTTTTGAATTTTGACACAGTTTACATTGAAGGTACTTCCATCCATCTAAACAATTTAAAACACATAACTTTGCTTTCTTGTAAATGTATAGATAGTATACAATTTATTTATATATCGTTTGTTGTATTATTTATTTTGCTACTTTACTCTTTATTATCATAAACGACGTTGTATGTAATCATCATTTCGTGTTTGTGTAAATAGATCACGCTAATATCAAAGGTTTTATTATTTATATATCTTAAAAATAAAAATAACTTAAACTAAGATAATTTTGAAAGAAGAAAACAAAGTAAACAATTTTGAAATATAAAATAAATAGAATAAGAAAAACAAGAACAAATATTGAATATTGGAAATATTTTGGTACCAGGAGAATTTGCTTCAAATGCTAATATGGCATCGTGTAGCAAGTCTTAGCTGTTTCTTTCTTTTGTTCATTTAATGATTGGAGCTCTCAGTGAAGTACGGATGCAACATGGCCTGCTCTGCACTAATGCGTTGGTTGGGTCGACATACCAACAGCTTTTGCAATAAATCACGTCCTTTGGAATTCAAACGAGGTACAATTTGACTCCAGGACGTAATTGCAGGGAAATCTGCGATATAAACAGTAATAAATAAAACCGAAGTAATTCATGGAACACAAAAATACTTACGTGGTAATGCCACATAGTCCGACAAATGAGTAACCCCCGGCCATGTTTCTTCAGTTGGTGTACCCAAAACACGGAATATTTTCATTAATTGATCGAGAACATCGGAACCGGGAAACAGTGGTCTTCCGGCATCAGCCAGCTCGGCAAAAATGCATCCTGCCGACCACATATCGATGCTGGTTGTATATAATTTAGCACCAAATAAAACATCTGGTGGTCGGTACCACAATGTGACAACTTCGGCCGAATAACATTTAACAGGTATACCAAAGGCTCGTGCAAGGCCTTCAAAACAAGAATATCTTATATTGCAAACCCACAAAAAATCATCAATTCAAAATTCATACCAAAATCCGCCAGTTTCAATTCTCCATTTTTATTAATCAACAGATTCTGCGGTTTCAAGTCTCGATGCAGCACATTACGACTGTGGCAAAATGCCAAACCTCTCAAGAGTTGCAGCATAAAACTGCGACACACTTGCATATCGATTTCCCCATTGAGGCTATCAAAGTACTTCTTCAGATCCTGGTCACAATGTTCGAAAACCAATGTTAACTTCTTTTCGGAATGTAGCACATCGTAGAGGCGTACAATGTTCTTATGTTTCAATTCCTTAATTGAATAAGGGGAAAAAGAAGACGAAACAATGAAATCATTATCCGAATGTCCTTTGGGAGGGTATGACGACGGTAGGTGTATGTACTTACTTTTAACAAACAAATTTCCCTCAGCGCTGAGGATGGTACACCTTCATCGTCTTCGTCCAATCGTACACGTTTGAGAGCCACTATCTCCATTGTTTCACGATTGCGGCCCTTAAAGACGGTACCATAGGTACCTTCGCCAATTTTTTCCAATTTTTCATATTTTTGCATTTTGTAAACAACAATTTTTTTTGGATGGATGTGTGTATGTTGACTTTCGGCAAATCGATTAGTTAATGTGGTTCGATTGACTGAAAAAATCAAAAGGGTATTATCGTTTTTCGGTTTGTGTAATTAATCGATAATAGTTCGCTAAACACAGTATATGGCTACACAATTAGAGCAATTGAATTTTTAGCTGTTTTTTTAATTCTTATAGAAATAGAGTAAGAGGTGGACGATACATGTTATGTCAGAACCGGAGAGATTATGGAGACGTCCGATCATCCCAAACTAAAGGATCTAGCTTACGCCAATAATGTAGTTTGCAAATACAAAAACTCCATAGCAAGTAATGGGAAATTAAATCCAGAAATTATACTGCAACTTACGATTTTACGTGATATTCTATTCAGGCCGAAATGTTAGCAATAACGAATATGGCTGAATAAAAAACAATATATTATATACGATTAGGTCCGCGGACTGTATATATAGATTTACAGGTGAACCTTTGTTCGGTGGTGGCCGAAATGCAAATTATATAGTCTTCTACACAATCTATTGTCTATCCGCGTGATACCTGCCCCAAAATCCACATGGACGGAATTTTCTCCGACATATCTCATTTTTTCCACGAAGAAAAAAGAGATCCAGCTGCAGAGTCAGGTATTTTATCTCCAATTGGGATGGCCATAAAAATAGAAATATTCTTGATCAGAGTAAAATTCTATGTTGATTTAATTTTTATTGAATATGTTCCCATTATATATAAATAATGGTCCACGATTTGATGAGGTCCCCACATAACCCAATTTTCCAATCTGAGTGTCAATAATGTGAAATTTCATTTTCTTCTGGCTGATATTTAATATGGCATAACCATGACTTCTACTTCTTTTAACGGAACTTGCCGAAGTTTTCACTTCTTTGTAATTACAGGTTCTTCTTCAGATGTTTGTCTTCACTTCCCAAATAAAATATATCCTCTTTTGTGGGGAAGTATACCCAATACTGGCAACACTGTTTGCCCTCAACATTTGTCAATTTCTGTGTGCATCAAATCAGCTGTTTCGCTTATTTGGACGTATATTTTATGCATTTTCTACAGCTGGCGTATATTTGCTATACAGCTTTACGTCAAACGTCTACATTTAGTCGCACAGTTATTGAAGATATGACGTTTAGCAATTAGTCTGTGTGTGAGAGAGCTGTGTTTTTCGTTTTTTGCAATATCAATTCCGACCGATGAAATTTCAAGCAGAAATAAACACTTTCAAATAAATAAAAACTAAATAAACAATGAATTTCTATAGAATAAAAAGTGCGTTGTATAAGAAAAAAATACAAGACTAGAATTTTGTGTGCTATAACTCGTTAAATACGTGGGGAGAAAAAAGTGTAACAAGACACCGAGAAAATCAGTGCATATGACGTTTACTCCCCTTTTTTCCTATTTTTTCTAATCATCATTACCGTCGTCGGTTGTTGAATTTTACTTGTAAACTCCATTGTTCTCATTACTACTTTGATTTGTAAAGTTTTCAACGATGAAGTAACAATTTGTTTCATTGTGGAAGATGTAGTGTGATTGGAAAATGTGCCCCTTCTCCATCACCCTCTTCCTTTGATTTGTATTGTGTTTACGTGATAATGTTGATGCTTTAACTGGCTGGCTGTAATGATGAGTCAAATTGGATGGGGGTCTCCATTGTTATTTTCTTGTTTTTTTTCGTTATCACAATTTTCTGCTGTGGCTGTTTTTCATGGATTTTTATTTGTATTTTGCAGATTAATACATGTTATTGATATTGAAAAAGAAAAAACGAATAAAAAAAGGAATTACTTGGCTGACAAAAAATATATATTGCAAACAAATTGAGGGTCGCTGCACTACACCGCATAGAAGAGGAGGAGTAGCAGCAGTACATCACTAAGGAAAAAATGGTGCCTCCCAAAGAAAGCATAGATTTGGAATGTTTTCTGGTAACCAAACATTCATGGAAGGGAAAATATCGACGCATTTTGTCAATTGGAAATCTAGGTATTTCCACATACAATCCAGACAAATTAGATCTTACAAATCGTTGGTCATACTCGGACATTGTATCGGCGGCACCATCCAAAACATCGAATGTGAGTTGAATATACTTGTTGAATGAATTCAATTGTAATTAATAGATGTTTCGTGTTCTTTTTGTATGTCCCCGTTGTCGTCGTCTTTCATTATTCTTCTTATAGATACCCAATGAATTTGTGCTGACGGTCAAGAAAGACAAAAAACTTGATTCAATAAAGTTATCATCCGAATACCGTAATGACATTTTAACATCCATTTTGAAATACTACAAAGAATTTGCCGATAAACCCAAAAATGCTCATGTATGTAAAATTTGTTTTTATATATTTTGAATTGTTTTGTATTCAGACAATATTATATTTAGGTATGTATTGTATAAAACATAATTAGTTATTTTATTAGTAATCCAATTTTTGTGACTCGGCAATGGTAATTGCAAAAAAATAAAAATAAAAAATACATATCTTATCTAAACTATCTCTCAATCCATTTATGAAATGGTATTCAAAACAATCATAACCTTTTACAAAAAGTTGAACAAATAAATAGTTATTATGCCCTCCACTTTAAGACCATTCAAAATACCTAAAATCGATGCCAGAAGAAAATAATACCCAACTTCAATCTAATATGTTAGTAAATTGGCCAGAAACTGAGAATACAAATTGGGCTAAGACCTTGAAATATGGAATTGTATTGAACGATCATCAAACAGAATTAAAATTTCCATGTCAATAAACAGCAACAATATTCTGCAATGAAGATTTTCCGCAAAATAATCGCGGAATGTTAAACTACTGTCAATACATAATGCCAAAATGTAGTCAATTATATAAAGTTAGGGCAAAGAAAAAATTCAGTATCATTATATAGTGATAATTATTTTTCTTGTACATTTTTAATTAATTATTATTTTTTCTTAATTTCTATATTTTTATTTATTGAATAATGTATATTAATGTTTAATTATTCATAATGTAATTAATTAAAATTTTTAATTTATATATTCACAATTGTGTTAAATTTTTTTAAATTTTTTTATTTTTAAACAGCGTTTTTCGGCCTACAAATACCACTGGTCTGGTATTAGTCTGCCAACAGTTTTGGAGGTTACACCCTGCTCATTGGATCAATTGGATCCAACAACGAATGAAGTACTTGCCAGCTATATGTACAAAGACATCGAGGGCATAATAGGTATCATACTTTTTATGACTTTTATGATGGACGTTGGTAGAGAGTATAAATTATTATAACAATTTCAAATTACTAATCTATTTTACTACGAAAAATCAAAGTAGTTAAACAGTTTTAATATTATATGTATAGATGTAATAGAACACCAAGCTTGCCTTGTCTAAAAAACTAAATAATTTTTGGCTTAATTTATACTCTCAAAATCGTTGATTACTCTAAGGCTACTAACAACAATATCTATTTCATCAAAAACAATTTGAATTTCATTCATACACATCAAATGTATTTGTTTGGCACTAACAACCAATTGCTGCTTTTATTATCACACACGCATATATTTCACATACAAATATTTCATCTTGTGTTACCCTTTAATGCGCACGTTTCAAGCAGGCATTTCGGACTATGAAGGTGGGATTGTTATGGCCTATGGCGGCTTTAGCCGTTTACATTTATTCAAAGCCCTCAATCATCATGAAATTGTACAGAATATTGTACAAAAATCATTACAATTTCTGGGCATTGAGATTAAAATACTGAAATCACAAATAACACTGGAACAATTTGAGAGGCAACGTTTTGGAACATATAGGTAAACATTGCACTGAATGAAAATTTTGTGTTTTATTTAAATAATTGCTTTTATTTATCTCCATTTTAGTGGTGATCAATTCCAAACATCAATGACTGAGTTTACTGTCCAAAAAATAACACCACGCCATCCAGACCCGGTAAAACGTATACTCTGCCTCACCGAAACTACAATACTGGAACGAGATCCGCAGACATATAGTGTATGCACGCTACGGCCGCTGTGTGAAGTATTTGCCTTGGTGCGTGACAAAGATAATCTGCAGAAATTTTGTATTGAATATAAAAATGGTATTGTACGTTCATATACCACCAATGATCGTGATTCCCTGTTGGCCACTCTATTGGATGCAGTACGTTCAAGTGGTAATCAGGATGTACATATACAAATTGTCAATACGCCGAGAGGCAAGCGGTATGTACCGCTCAACAGTTGTGTCGACGAAGAGACCGAGGCTAACCTTTTGCGTTTGGTTATGAATAATTTTCAAAATCCCGCCAAACGTTATGAAGTGTTAGAACGTTTCAATGCAAATGTTCCACATAGTGGTTTAAATTATAGTGTAACACAGGATGTGAGTAGGACAATACTAATATATAATTGTAAACTTTATTTAATTGGTTTCTTCTCTCCTCCCTTCTTAGAGTTTATTTGCCGAGAACAAAGAAAAGCTTATACTTAGTGCCCTTCAGGCTTTGGCCCAAAAGGAAGTCGACAATCCAACAGCCCAGTTAACAAACCTAGAATTAGAAGCCATATTCCATGCCCTCACACGACTGCTTGCCAGCAAAGTAGGCTATGCCGCATTTACAAATTTACCGGGTTTCCGTGAAATAATTGGCACCAAAATTGTGGCCGCATTGAGGCGTAAAGATTTGGCCGTCACCTACTCGGCCATTGATATGATAAATTCTCTAATGCATTCAGTTAATTCGGATCACGATTTGAAGCAAGAACAACTCAACAAATCCTCCATATTGTCATCGAAATCATTTTTGGAAACTTTATTGAATATGTGGACAACACACGTTAGCCATGGCAGTGGTGCCTTGGTTTTATCGGCCATGTTGGATTTTTTAACATTTGCATTATGTGTGCCTTATAGCGAAACCACAGATGGCAAACAATTTGATATTCTATTGGAATTAGTGGCCGAGAGGGGTCGCTATTTGTATAAATTATTTCAACATCCTTCATTGGCCATAGTCAAGGGAGCTGGTTTGGTTTTGCGCGCTATTATTGAAGAGGGTGAATTGCAAGTTGCTCAGCAAATGCAATCGTTGGCTTTGGATGAGGCTGCTCTGTGTCGTCATTTATTGGTGGCCCTCTATACACCCTCAAATGATCCAACTTTGGTAACACATCGTCAATTATCTAGACATTTAATTGGTTTGTGGATAACCGATAATGCCGAGGCATTAGAATTGTTTAAAAGAATATTTGTGAGTATATATTTTAAATATTTCCAAATAAATAATAATTCAATTCAATTTCTTTTGAACTTAGCCTGCTGGTTTATTAATGTTTTTGGAATCGGAAGAAGCTGTGCCAGAAAACGATGTAGAAGAAGATAAATTAAATTTCCGTGATAATTTAAAATTCGCCATACAACATTCCAACAAAACTCGCAAAAATGTCATAGAAAAGCATTTACAGGTATGCTAAAATATATTTTTGTTTTTTTATTTAATTGAGTTATATTTTATATTTCGTAGGGTATTAAACATTGGGGTATGAGTCTAATTGAACAGCAGGACACTGCTGCCCAAGCATTAAAAAATCGTCCCGTTGTTCTGCGCAATCGCCGTCAACGTAAAAAGACTTCGGAATCCGTTGTAAATCTACCCTATTTCTTTTATAACTTTTCCAAGGATCATAGCCTGCCTAATTTAATTTGGAATCATAAGGTAATGGAGTAAACAGTTCCACAATTTGTTTTCAATTTAACTCAATTTTTTGTTTGCCATAGACAAGGGAAGAATTGCGAATTTGTTTAGAAAACGAATTGCGACAATTCATCAATGATCGTGACTTGGCTGGCAATACAATAGTGGCCTGGAATTATCAAGAATTTGAAGTAACATACCAAGTAAGATGGAAAATAACTATACTTGTAAATGGCACAGTTTTACTTTAATTCCTCGTTTTAGTGCTTGGCCGATGAAATACAAATTGGTGACTATTATATACGTTTGATATTGGAAAAAGATGATTGGCCACAGAATTTAGTTAAAGATCCGTAAGATAAGTCACGAAGATTTGCAACTACTTCTTTAATCAAATTTCTTTTTATTTTCAGAGTGGAATTGTTTAATGCTTTATACCGGCGGGTGTTGTGTCGCCAACGTGTAAATGATGATCAACTTACGGTCACGTCATTGCAGGCATTGGCCAAAGTATATAAACGTTATCACAAAGAAATTGGACAATTTAGTGATATGTCATATATTCTGCAACTGTGTGATCGAGTAAGCAAGCCATAATGAGACTCAGTAATATATAAATGATTCATGTTTATATTTTCCCTAGTGTTACTCACCCTCACTAAGAGATGCCCTGATACATTTAATATCATGTTTGGTCTTGGAAAAGGCTAATTGTCGACCCTTGGTTGATCATGTTCAATGCCTAGTTGATCTAATCACATTGGCCCATCTGCATCAAGGTCGTGCCCAACCAAATACCAAAACGAATGTTATTGAGGCTGGTCCCAATATGCAGCAATACGAAGAAAAGGATTGGTATTATAATATAGAAAAAGAGGGCCAGAAACCTGAACGTCAGGGTCCCATTACCTATTCCGAATTAAAGGAGTTGTGGTCGAAGGGCATAATAACACCAAAAACTCGTTGCTGGGCAATTGGCATGGATGGTTGGCGTTCGCTGCAACAGATACCCCAGTTGAAATGGTGCCTTATTGCCAAGGGACAACCTTTGTACAATGAAACGGAATTGTCATCCATGATCTTGGATATTTTAATCAAATGTACCAGCTTTTTCCCCTCTAGAACACAAAATGGACAAGCAGTACTCATTCCCGGACCTAAGCTATCTCGAAAGCTATCCGAATTCATATGTCTACCCCACATTGTACAGGTGTGTTTAACTCACGACCCCGGTCTGTTGGAGCGTGTTGCCACGCTGCTATGTCAAATTATGCAAGATAATCCCGAAATGCCCAAAGTCTATTTGACGGGAGTCTTCTATTTCATGCTGATGTACAGTGGCAGCAACATTTTACCCATTACAAAGTTTCTTAAGATGACCCATATGAAACAAGGTTTTCGCAGCGAAGAGACCTCCCAGTCGGGTATAATGCATCGTAGCATATTGGGTCAATTACTGCCCGAGGCAATGGTATGCTTTTTGGAAAATTATAGTGCTGAGAAATTTGCCGAAATATTTTTGGGAGAATTTGATACCCCCGAAGTAATTTGGAGTTCAGAAATGCGTCGATTGTTAATCGAAAAAATTGCAGCACACATTGCTGATTTTACACCCCGCCTTAGAGGCCACACTATGGCCAGATATCCATATCTTGCCATACCTGCTATCAGCTATCCACAGCTGGAGAATGAACTATTTTGTCATATCTATTATTTGCGGCATTTATGTGACACACAAAAGTTTCCCAACTGGCCCATTTCGGATCCGGTACAATTGCTGAAACATACATTGGATGCATGGCGCAAGGAAGTTGAAAAGAAACCACCACAAATGACCGTCCAACAGGCCTACAACGATTTGGGTATTGATTTGAATAAACATCCCAAGCCGGATGAGTCGATGATCCGTAAGAGCTACTATCGTTTGGCTCAAATTTACCATCCCGACAAGAATCCAAATGGTCGTGAGGTATTTGAAAAGGTCAATCAAGCCTATGAATTTTTGTGTTCCAGAAACGTATGGAGTTCTGGTGGACCAGATCCCAACAATATTGTTTTGATATTAAGAACCCAGAGCATATTGTTTGAAAGATATGCTGATGGTAAGTCCACGATTGCGTCGATTATTTAAAAGTTAGAAAATTTTAATTTACTTGTTTTTCTTCTCGTAGTATTACGTCCATATAAATATGCCGGATATCCTCAACTCATTAAAACCATACGCTTGGAGACCAAGGACGATGAATTATTCTCCAAGGAGACTCAACTGTTAACTGCTGCCTCTGAACTTTGTTACCACACGGTACACTGTTCTGCCCTTAATGCCGAGGAATTGAGACGCGAAGAAGGCATAGAGGCTTTGCTGGAAGCCTACGATCGTTGTGTATCCATTATGGGTGCAGATTCCAAACCCGATTCATTACACTATCAAGTTATTTCCAATGTTACACGCTGCTTTGAGGTGGCCTGTAACTTTGAGAAATGTAAACAGAAAATTATTACCCTGCCTCGTTTAATGTCCGATGTCTGTCGGGTTGTTTACTTCAAACACAACTTGTCGGTTAGTTTGGTAACCAGTTTGGCCGCCAATAATTATGAGTTGCAGTGTAATCTGGCCTGCAATGGTGTTCTGTGGTCTTTATTACTATTCTGCTTCGAATATGATTACACCTTGGATGAAAGTGGTGTCGAAGCCAGTGATAAAACTAATCAGCAGCAGCAAGCAAATACGCTGGCCAAAATGTCCATATTGGCTTGTATAGCATTGGCTGGATATGGTCTAGAATTGCGTAATAAACCAGATGGTAAATCCCTTAATTCGTCGGGTAATAATTCACCAACAACGAGTACAGGTTCAAATGCGGCAAATAAGCCAATCACCCAGGCACCCAGAGTTAAGCCAACAACCTATACTCAAAATGCACAAAATCCCCTACAAAATAAACAACTTGCCATAACAACGGGACAGGAAGTGGGTGTTAGTAATGTTGCTGCCAATAATAATGGATCAGCAGCCGCAACGGCCACCATAGCCACCATCTCCACCAAACAAGACTCAGCAAATGATAAGTCTGAAGCAACCTCACCAGAACGCACGGCAAAGGTGTTGGATCTGTTGAGTCAAAAATATATTGTAACATCGGATGCTCAAAATGCTGTTGTCATACAAGTTCTGGAACGTCTACTAACCAAGTATATAGCCAATAAACTAACAAAGGAGAAAGATTGTGAGGTAAGTGTCGAACAAAAAAAAAAAAAGTAAAGAAAGATGGACATTTCCATCCCCAAATAGTGGTATAATATTCCAAATAAGGGGGATGTATTTGGGGATATCAGAAGGTAAAGAAACTTCTTGGTTAAAAATTTTCAATATAATTAAATTCCTTCAAAAGGCCCTCAACACATTTTCCCATCGAAATGACTTGGATTCGCAGAGGATTTCCTCGTTGAATTAATTTTTCATCTCGGGATATCGGAATAGTTTTTCTCGTCGGATAAAAAGGCACCCCATGCAACGAACTCAGATTGTTTATTTATATTTTTTTCTAATGACTGTTTTTATTTTTTCCTTTCTACAGATTTTAAAAATCCTTACATCGAACACCCGAAATCCCTATTTAATATGGGACAATGGTACACGAGCTCAATTATTAGATTTTCTGGAACAACAACGAACAGCTGCAGTTAAGGAAACCTATGAAGACATTACAGAGATACATGATTTGGTGGCACCATTTGAATTTGATGCACACAAGTAAGAGAATAATAACTTTTTTTTGCATAGAATGGCTTCTGATACTTTTTTCATTCTTTCAGAGATGAATTACAAATTGGAGGTGTTTTTATACGCATCTATAATGATATGCCAACATTCCCCATACAACATCCCAAACAATTTGCTTGCGATCTATTGGAATATCTGAAACAAGCCTACCACTATATGATGTGTATGAAAAATTCCACTCAAACAATACCCTACACTACTACGACGGGTGGTGGGGGAGGATCTCCAACTATGGGTGCTGGTGGTGATGGTATCTTAAAACCTACCTTGGCACCAAATCATTTACAGCTGAAATTGCAACATCAACAACAGAAATCCGCAACAACTTTCGATGAAGTCCTAAATGCCTATAATCGTTCTAAATCACGTAAAAAGTTGGAAACCGAAGCCCTGTTGGAACAGCAACGTATTCAAAGTCAATATAAATATGATTTTGCCAAGGACGGCAATGTTGAACAGCATATTGTAATGGTGCTCAAAGCATTGATTGCTGTCATCAAGGCAAATCATGATGTTGAAATCCAGTGTATAGGAAGCTTTGAAATGATATTCGGATTTTTGGCAAATAATCTATTTAATGATGTAAGATTAATTTTTCAGAGGAGAGTGATCACTTTTCGAAATGTTATTCATTTTAATATTGTTTCTTTCTCTCGTTTAGAATACCACTGTGAAAACGGTGGCATTGGAAGTTGTTGCCTTAGTGTCTAGGAACAAGGATTGTATAACAGAAATCGCAGCCTGCGAAGTATTGGGTAGCTTTTTAGTTGCCCTCAAGGATCCAGATTTAAGAGCCAGTCAAGTTAAAGTGTTGGAAACACTGTCTGGCCTAATGAATGTCCAGGAAATGATTAAGGAGGCCCAACATAAAGGAGCTGTTATTTATTTACTGGATATGTTTTGTAATTCCCGCAATCCCTTAATAAGGGAAATGTGTGCTGAGATATTGGCCAAAATGACAGCCGATCGATTAAGTGGACCAAAGGTAAACAACAAATTTAAATTCAAATTGATATTATGGGGGTTGGGTAATAATAATATTTCCGCCTTTTTTCGCAGGTTCGCATAACGGTAACTAAATTTTTACCAGCGTTATTTGTGGATGCTATGATTGAATCACCACAAACGTCGGTACAATTATTTGAATCCATACACGAACATCCTGAACTGATATGGAACGACAAGACCAGAGATAATGTGGGTAATGCGGTCAATGATATGTGTGAAAGTTTCTATCGGGCCCAAAAACTAAATGCCAAACATGCCTGGAAAGATCCTGAAATACTCAAAGATATCATTTCCAATGAAATTGTGGTGGCCGGGGTCTATCTACGTCTCTTTGTGGCAAATCCCGCCTGGACTCTACGTAAACCCAAACAATTCCTATCGGATCTCTTAGATTTTGTAGTCGATCAAATAAGCAAAAGTTCTTCGGAGGTCAGTGTGGAATCATTTTCCAAAAGAAGTTAATTTTGACATATTTTTGTGATATTTCTTTTTTTATCAGAAGGATGTTTTGGATCTCTCAACGACTGCTTTAGTTGAATTGTTACGTTCGCAGCCAAACTTGGCTGATGATATTCCTGTATTGGGTCACATACCCAAATTATTTAATCTATTGTCCGTACAACCAAAGAATACGTTGTCAGTATTACATCAATTGTCATTGTCTGAGGTATGTGTGAGAATAGAGGATTTAGAAATTGAATTTAAAAATTTAAAATATTATTTAGTTTTGTGTAAGCTCCATATCTCAAACGGAATGTATATTGCCACTGAAAAAATGCATGGAACACAATCGTGATTGCATAGAGAAATCATGCGAAACATTAAGTCGGCTATTTAAACACCAACATGTAAGTACAACTGCTAATGCAGCAACTAGAGATCCGTAATTAAAACAAATATTTTTAGGATTCCTTAATAAGTCAATCCCTGGAGGCGGGTCTTATACCCTACTTATTGGGCTTGTTGGATAGTCGCCTAGATTATGTTGATAATGCCTCGGCAGTTAAGGCACAAATTGTGGCTGCCCTCAAGGGCATGACAACAAATCTCAATTATGGTGATCGTGTAAATCAAATACTACAGAAGCATCCTGTATGGGCTGAATTCAAAGATCAACGGCATGATCTATTCATAACCGATACCAATGTTAGGGGATATTTGACGGGTATGTCGCTGCGCGTTTGCTAAATTAAAATATAAATTAATTCAATGATTTTGGGCTGTTTTTAGGTATCAATCCTACAGCAGGCTACCTCACTCAAGGACCGGCACAAAATGTTGAAGTGCTTACCTCACCACCACCTATAGACCGAGATGATCCATCTGCACGACCTCCAGAGGAATAATATTTACCCTTTAAGAACATTTTTTAATGTTTTCTATGGCGGCGTATTCATTTCCTTTTCCACACAAAATCTTTTTCTTTGCAACTGAAAAAAAAACTAGAAACAAATATTTTTTTTTGTTTTTGAAAAAATGTGTTGAAAACTTTTTTCTAATTAAATTTTAGGTCATATTTTTTGCAAACAAAGATAAAAAATAGTACATTATATATTAACATACAAAATGTTTTATACAGTATATATTATTAAATTAACTTTATGAAAGAAAAAAATCAAATCGATCACCAACAACAACTAAGTTTTCGCTATATGTTATAAACATTTTTAATTATTATTATTATTAATAATTGCATTCTTTATTATTCGTTTTCTATTTTATTTGCAAAATGCAAGTAATTTATTATTACATAAATCAAACAAACACAAGCAAGCGCGTATACATATATATGTATTATAATTATAATTTCTATTTCTACAAAAATATAACATTTATAAAAAATGAAAAAAAAACAAAAACTTCAAAAAGCATAGAAATGAAATAAAATGTAAAACAATTCATGTAATAAGCTAGCAGTTTTTCTGACCGAATTTATGATTTATGACAATACCAAGGTTAAAGCCAAACGTATGTAATCGATGCACGAAGCCAAAGCAGTAATACCATAACGATATTTATTTATATACAAAATGAAATATTGTTCATAATAGTCGTCATTGGTGGGTATTTGCATACAAAATATATATTCCAAAAATGCTATCAAATCCAATATATTAGGAAATTTTAACTCCAATGCACTGTAAAAATGGTAATAATTTTCAATTAATTCGATTAAACTTTTTTTGTTTTTCATTTACCTTTGCACAAAATATTGTACAATTCCATAAAATGTTAAAATTGCAATAATCGGATATACAATTGGCAGCATTAGAATAGTTGTTAATACAAAAGTATACAATATTTTGAAAATTGTTGGAAATGGCAGTGGTTCCAACCACACTTCAATTATATTTTCAACAAATGGCCTCATGTAGTAGATCATTTTTCCACAAAATGATTTTTGTTTCCACTGGAGAATAAAACAAATTAAAATTGTATCCTTGGACATTTTATGGCAGCATTTATTACTTACTACTTTACGGGTGTGCAAAGGCTTGTGCCAAATTTTTGACATATGTTGAAATTATTTTTTTTTTTTTAATTTTCTCTTTTACAATTGCGTAATTTGAATTAAATATACAATCTATTCAAAATATAACTTTATTATTTTTTAGGCTTGTAAAATTTTGAATAATTGTTATAATTGCAACTCTTTCCTAGTAGGTTCGACAAACTAACCAAATTGTTTTCCAGTATTAGGTAAGTTCCCGTACTTCAAAAATTGATAAAACTTTGCAAATTTATATAGAGAAAATCGAGCAATGTTTCGAAGATGTTATGATTGAATCGTTACAAATATCTGTATAATTAATTAATTACAACAAAAATATAATTATGTCATTAAAAAATATAACATTATCATTCATTTCATTTATTTCACATGTAATCCATTGAAAATCATTGATATTTAAATCCATTATTTAAAAAATATAATCTTAAATGTAATAACCTTTTTTTGTTATTAATTCCCTGTGAATTCAAACAGTCGACAGAAGTAGCCCTAATCTGTTGATAATCTACACACTTGTATTTCTCCTCCCATTCTAAACAAAACATTTTGCCATTATGCATCACACATTTATTCGTAAACACATCAGTAAAGTTGTCATTTTGTTTTGTGTTCATTCATTTTCGCCAATTCTCTTCTATCTCCCCACTTTGAAGCATTTGGAACGTTTTTAATTTTGTTCGATGCCGGCTTTAATGGCATTCATTTGCTTCGCGGTGTAATTTATTAATTTTTTATTATAAAAATATTAATAAAATTATTATAAAGATTAAAAAACACCGCAACTATGGAAATTCAAGCATTGCTCAATGAATATTTGGTAAATATTTCTCCAATGGACATCCGTTTTGAGGCCGGGCGTCTAGCTGATGCAAAACAGCAATTGATGAGTTGACTGGCAAAAAAAATTATTTTTTTTATTAATTATTGTTTTCCTTTTTTTATAGAAAGTAGAAACAATAGAGGAGGCATTCTTAAGCGTTATTGTTTATCATCCAAATGGTGAAACGGATAAGGCTACCAAATTCACAAATGATATAGGTATGGATTCTGAGACATGTCCAGACATGCCTGTGTTGCAAAATGCAGCATGCAGACTTAAGTGACTGAATTATGTTTTTTGCTTTTTCTAGTTAATGCCTTTGCAAATATTCCCCCGGACAATAAGGAAAATGTGGTTAGGCAATATTTACAGACTGCGGCCACCGTTACAAATGCCAATCACCTAAAAGTTTTGATGTCAACACTGGGAAAATTAACGGAATCACATTTAATAACGGCTAAGTAAGTATATAATAAATAGCATAACTCTAAACTTGGAATGGAATACATTAAGATTCATCATAGGCAATGGTCTAAAGACTACTTAAGAATTACTTTTTTTAACCAAAATATATTGTATAGTCAGTTATCGTTAAATACATTTGTAGTAGCACACTCCTCTTCACACTGTCACTTTCCTGGAGCACTATAAAATAATTAAAAGTATCCGAAAATGGTTAAATTCCCTGACTTAACATTATCATAGAGTTTAAACTTATAGGAGGTGATGCAAATGTGGTATACCCATTTGTTTTTAGATTACCAAATTTTTATTTTTTATCCGATTAAATTGAAAATTTACACTTAACATGCTACATGTGTTGTCTTTCCATGTATCAATTTGAAAATAATATTATTCTAACAATTTAAGAGATATTTGAGAAAATATTTGAAATCCCATAAAAAGTGATTTTAAAAAAAGTGCAGGTAATGTGGTATACCACATGATGTTAATGTGGTATAGTATAATTTTCACTTCCAATTGATATCTTATATAATTTATTGTTTTTAATGAATGCGAATTAGCTCGAGATTTATGTCTGTTAAGATTTTTAACGGATGCGTTGAGTGCAACTTTAATTTTTATTATATAATAATGTGTACACATGGCAATATTTAATTTTTGTATGGAGAAGTTGTTAAAACTCATAGCCTTTGTTTTTCATCCTTGTGATTCATGGTAGACTCTCGTAGAGTACAAATGTTTCACATAGTAATGAGATTTTGTCTAGTGCTGGCCTTTTTGCATGTAGAATCAAGGTATACCACATTACCTACACTTGTGTTTACTGATGAAATGTCTAGTTTTTTTCCAAATTGGTGATTATGTGGTGCAATCGCGCATATTATTTGATTTTTAGTTCATACTGATTATTTTAATGCTTTAGTAATAAGGATTAAAGTACATCCGTAAAACAAAAAATTATTTTTAAACTTCGACCGAAAAAGTCAATTTCATGAAAAATTTTATTTTTGGTACTGATTCTCAACGTGATTTAAATAAATTAAACAGGTCATTGCTATCTTATTTTTTTGAGAACAGCAAACTATAGAACATGTTTCAGTTATTCAAAAATGTTCAGTTTACAAAAAAAGTGACTATACCACATTACCAACCTATACCACATTTGCATCACTTCCACTACAGACTTTGCCTTTATTTATTCTAATTCTTATTATTATTTCTTTATTTATTTCGCTTTTAGATTACTTTGTGATAAAATCCTTCTTTGTGACCTACTAACATACGAAAATAAATTGTTTTGGATGGAAAGTTTCCATTGGATTAAGAAGGTGATAAATCATGTCGACTACAAGGGGGTGCGTGAAATAATGAAATATTGCCGCGAAAAAGCTGAAACATTTCCTCTAAATGTCAATGTAACATATCTACCACAACTATTGGTTTTGGAAGAAACCATACGTTATATATCGGATCGAAACAATTGCCTACTACCAGCCTATTTTATAGCAAATGAATTTATGAAACCATTTCCCTATCACTGGGTAAGTTCAATATTAGGAAATTGGACTGAATTTACTTAATAGACTTTTATTGACCACCATTTTAGAAACTTAACACTTTGATGACAGATTATGTCGAAGAATTTCGCATGACTGCCCAGATGGTCTCGGTCATCGGTCATGTTCATATGTTGCCCATTGTTGAACATTTTGGTTATGCTGATCATATGATGAATTCATGGAAATTAGATCAAAATACATTGAAATTTAATTTAAAAGGTATTTTACCGTATGATTTGGAATTAATGGAAGAACAGCCACAGCTACTGCGTTATGTCTTGGGTCAAAGTTATTCCAAGGAAATGGTTTCGTCAATGTTGAATTTACAAAAACAGCAAAAACATCGTTGTAACACATTGGAAGATCAATTGGTTAATTTAATTATTAATGCCATGGAAATGACTGAATCGAATGAAAATACTGCTGGCAGTGGTTTCAATTCCCCCGAAGAGCAAATATCCCATAATGAATGGATTTGGTTGCATTTATCCTCACAGCTTATTTATTTTGTGCTCTTTCAATTTGTTAGTTTTATGCAAATTGTGTTGGCGCTGTATGATAAGGTGAGTAGCAAAATTTTAAAATTTTCGTATTTAAATTATCCAAACTATTGTCAAAAACATTAATTCCAGTTATCCAAAAAGGAGTTACGCAAGGGTCGGGATAATTTAATGTGGATATTATTACAGTTTATATCCGGCAGTATACAAAAGAACCCGGTAAGTCATGAATCTAAAAAAATCTCAGAAATTTCTTAGTTTTTTTTCTTCCTTTTTCACAGATTGTCAACTTCTTCCCCATGTTCAAATTGTTTGATTTATTGTATCCCGAGCAGGAACCCTTAAAGTTGCCGGATTGTAATAAATCTTCTTCTTTGAGACAGGTTGGGAAAATTCATTATCAGAAAAAAGTTAAAAGATTGTTAATAGTTTTTTATTTCTATTTTAGATGGCACCAATTTGCATTTGGATACATTTAATGAAAAAAGCCAGAGCATCAAATATGAATATTTCTCGCCCCTTGCCGATAGCATTAAAAAATCATTATGAGTAGGTAGAGAGACACTTAAAAATTTGAATAGTAAAAATAAAAAAATCTATTTTTTGGCATTTCAGATTTTTACAACACTTGGTTATGCCAAATACCATGATGTCTATGAATTTGGGTAATGATTTTCGCATTGTTTTAGTGTGTAATGCCTATTCCACCAATCAGGAATATTTCACACGACCAATGAGTGTATTGGTGGATTCATTAAATGGTAATGCCAAAACAGCAACAGGTGCTCCTGTGCTACCGGTACCATTTTCTATGGTTGTATTGGATAGCTTAACAGTCCACAGTAAAATGTCTCTTATTCATGGGTAAGTCCTCCGCGATATTATAGCGAATAATATAACCGATAAAAACAGTATCTTAACCTGAATGAAAAATAATATTTATATGTTTTTTAGTTTTGTATCTCAGATGATAAAACATGCCCAAAGTAAAACCTCTGTACCCACACCGGCTTTAATTGAAACATATGCTCGCCTTTTGGTCTATACTGAAATTGAATCGTTGGGCATTAAAGGATTTTTGTGTAAGTTTTTTCTTCTTCTTTTTATATACTTCTCCTTCACTACAACTAAATCTGAAAATGTTTAATTATAGTGCAATTATTACCCGCCGTATTTAAACATCAAGCCTGGGGTATTCTGCATACCCTCTTGGAAATGTTTTCCTATAGACTGCATCACGTACCCACCCATTATAGAGTACAGTTGTTATCACATCTGCACAATTTGGCACCCTTGCCACAAACAAATAAAATGCAATTAAATATATGGTGAGCAAAAAATATTTACATATTTTAAACAAACCAATTTAATATTTATTTTTTAATTCTTCAAAAATAGTTTTGAATCCACCGCCCTCCGTTTAATAAATGGTTTGGGTTCCGTTGAATTTCAACCACAACTTGCTCTGTATTTTAATGAGAAATCGCCTGGTTCAGTGGCCTCTACCGAAAGTGAGGAACTTAATCGCGTTTTGATTTTGTCATTAGCTCGAGCAATGTATATCACCGGTTCTGGCGAAGAAATGCCACCATGGTGTAAAGACCTATTAACAACAATTATGCAAAATACACCACATTCCTGGGCCTCACATTCATTGGCCTGTTTTCCACCCGTCTTGGTGGAATTCTTCTCTCAGAACAGTCATCCGGTGGAAAATAAACAATTATTGAAGAAATCTATTGAAGAAGAATATCGCACCTGGACATCGATGAGCAATGAAAATGATATTATCAATCATTTTATAAAACCGAATACAAGTCCTTTGTTTTTGTGTTTGCTCTACAAAATGATATGGGAAACGGAAAGTATAAGTCCAGTCGCCTACAAGTAAGTGCATTTCAAAAAAAAAAAAAAAAAACTATGAAATAACTGTTGCCCGTAAAATGAGCCGGCGTTAAAATAAAACACAAAATTTCTAAGAGCACTCCTTGTGCGTAAATATTTTAATTTATTTCTCTACGAAAGAGCAAGCGAGCGAGCGAGCGAGCGAGCGCTTTAAAATAATTTTGTTTTACACCGGCCTTTTACTGACTGCCCTGATGTTTTACAATTATTTTCTAATGACCGCAGATGCCTACGTGATACATAAACGTAGTCCGTTATAATTTATAAACAACTTGTTTAGTACTTATTTCGTATGTACATATGCACGTGTGTGCATACGAATATGTGTAAAGCAAGAATAATCTATTTACAAATATATGTAAATCAGTATGTGACAATTGGTAAATTTAAGAATTTAGTGGGAAGTATACCCATATCATAAATTTAAAAAAAAAAATCTAAGTGATTATTAAATATCATGAGGATATCGGCGACAACATTCTCCCCCTCGTAAAGGAGCCAACGGGACGAGTTTACCGCTTATTTTTGTCGACGTCTAGTTTAGCTATCTTTGCTGTTGGTCTTTGGAAGATACCACTTTGTGTTTGAACTGTAACCTGTCGCACTTGACCGTCCTTCGCCATGAGGGTGTCGATTATTCTGCCTTTTGGCCAGCAGTGTCGTGGTAGATTCTCATCAACTATAATAACGATGTCCCCTACTTCTAGTGGAGTTGCTTTTTCATACCATTTTCCTCGTCTGGTGATCGTTGGTGTATATTCTTTGACCCAGCGATGCCAAAATTTATCCGCAAACTGTATAGTACAGTTCCATCGCTGTCGTAAGTCAATTTCTTTGTAGTTGACGGGCTTGAGGCCAGTCGATGATCCTAGTAATAGGTGATTTGGTGTGAGAGCCTCATCATCGCATGATTCGAGTGATACGAAAGTTAGTGGCCTGGAATTTATCATGAACTCGACTTCAGCTAAGGCGCCTCTTAAGGTCTCGTCATTGAAATTCATGTGAGGACAAATGTTGTATAGAGCGGTTTTGACCGAACGTACGAGCCTCTCCCAGGCTCCACCCATGTGGGGCGCTGCTGGTGGATTAAATTTCCACTTGATGCCATCAAATGCTTTCGAGGTTGCTGTGTGATCGACTTCGGCACTAAACACTTTGGATGCTGACTTAAAATTCGTTCCGTTGTCGGTGTATATTTCTCTTGGAATTCCTCTTCGAGCCATAAAATTGTTGATGCACATGACACAGGAACTGGTATCGAGGCTGTGAGCAATTTCGATATGTACTGCTCGTAGGGTGAGGCATGTAAATAAGGCGCCCCATCTTTTCTCCTTTCTTCTACCAACGGTGACGTATAGCGGTCCGAAGTAGTCAATACCAGTAAACGTAAATGGCTTTTCATAACATGCTAGTCTAGCAGGTGGAAGCGAAGCCATTTGTGGCATTATTGGTGATGCTGTTGAATTTTTGCATCTTTGACACGATTTTCTAACGAACTTGTAGAGTATTCTTAGCTTGGGTATGAAATATCTACTTTTAATATTGTTGATGACGGTTTCATGTGACATATGGTGATATGTTTCATGTGCAAAGCGAACTAGTAGAAATGTCACATGGTGTTTGGTAGGCAGAATTATTACATCTTCGTGATTTAGGAATGATGCACGGCCTTTGGCCCTTAATACGCCCTCGTCATCTAGAAAGATATTCAAAGATATTAATTTGCTGTCTTTCTCAATATTCTTACCGCTTTTTAAATGATGTATTTCATCATAAAACGCGCTCTGCTGTGCGTTTTTGAACAATATGGTTTTTGCCTGATGTAGTATTTCGAACGAGATACCTTCGGGGGGTTTGCGTCCTTCACATCGCGCTTTAAGTTTTCTCATGTAGAGAATAAATGTTGCCAGCGCTCTATAAAGCCTTCTCCAGTTGGAGAAATATTCAACGTTGAATTTGGCGTTACTTCCAGCTTTGTTGATAAGCAATAAATGGTGTCTCATCTCTTCTTTACTGCATTCGCCTAAATTATTGCAAGTTGGCCATGTAGATACATCTTCTTGTAGAAATTTAGGACCACCGAACCATAATGACATCTCCCAATGTGTCTGTACCTTTGTTGCTAGATCAGCCGGATTCATTTTAGAGGGCACCCATCGCCATTGAGTTACATCCGTAGTTTCTAGTATTTCACCAACACGATGCATAACAAATGGTTGAAACCTTTTTGGATCCATTCGTAGCCACTGCAGAACTGTCTTCGAGTCAGACCAGAAGTACTTTCCGGTGAAATTTATGCGTTGAATATTTGCGACCTTGTTTGCTATCCTAACGCCAACAACGGCAGCTTGTAGCTCCAATCTTGGTATTGAGATCGGCTTTAATGGAGCCACCTTTGACTTGGCAGCGGTGATAGCAACGTCATAATTGCTTTGATTTGCAATTCGAATGTAGCAGACTGCGGCATAAGCATCTTCACCAGCATCGACGAAAGTATGAAGCTCCACCTGAGTCGCCTCATTCAGGTGTTGCGAATAACAGCGAGGTATTTCCACAGAAGCTATGTGAGCAATAACTGTCTTCCATCTGTGCCACTTTGGTAATAATGTATCGAATAGTTCCGCATCCCAATCGATGCCAGATCGCCAGACTTCTTGTAGCAGGATTTTCAAGGTTGTTGTGTAGCATGATATTAATCCCAGTGGGTCAAAAATTGACATTAGAACCTGAAGCAGCTCTCTTTTTGTGGGAACTACATCACCAACAAATACATCACGACGAAGCCTGGCAAATCTGAAAATATAGACAAAGGAGTCTTTATTTGGATCCCAATACATACCCAGAACCTTTTCTGTTTCTGCTAGATCTTTTGGGGATTGATTTTGATCAAGTCCTTCCTTCAGATGGGTGATGACTTCGCTGCTATTTGATGACCAATTTCTGATGTGGAAACCTGCCGCTGCGTGAATGAGTTTTACATGCGTCGCCAGCTCGATAGCTTGTTGATTGCTGTCTACACTATCGATGAAATCGTCTACGTAGTGATTATTCTGAATAGCCTCTACTGCTCTTGGATATCTTTCTTTAAATTGTTCAGCGTTAAAATTACGCACGTAATGAGCGATGCATGGAGCACATGAAATGCCAAACGTTAAAGCTTTCATGGCGTAAACACTTGGGTTGGGAATTTCATCGTTCTTGTCCCACCATAAAAATCTTTGCGCGTGCACATCCCGGTCTATTACATTTATCTGGTGGAACATTTCTGCTATATCACCACAAACTGCAACTTTACCCACACGGAAATTCAGCAACACGTCGAATAAAGATTTTAGTAGGTCTGGTCCACTGTTTATAAAATCGTTGAGGCATACTCCATTTGATTTGGCGGCAGCGTCCCAAACCATTCTTATTTTGTTGGGTTTATTAGGATTTTTAATAATGAATATTGGTAGATACCAAACACGATCTAATGATGAATTAATTTCATTTTCATTTAACTTTTTGGCGTATCCTTTCGATAACAAATTATCTATTTGGCCTTGTAACAAGATTTTTAAATTTGGATCTTTTATAAACTTTCGATTCAAACACATGAGACGTTTATAGGCAGTATTATAACTTTCAGGTAATTTACTCGCATCGTTGTTCCACAACAATCCCGCTTCGTAGCGTGTGCCTACCTTTTGACACGTAGTCTTCAATGTTTGAATAGCCTTAGCATCCTCCGGAGAGAGCATAGATTTTTTGTTTGGCTCTTCTAGACTGAAATTATTCTTTATCATTTGATGTAATTCGTTGTATTGTTTTTCACATTCACAATGATGAATATTGAGCCATTCACTTTGGTAAGCGCTTCCACTATTGCCTTGAATTGTCCAACCTAATCTTGTTTTTGTGGCAATCGGTTGATTCCACTGCCCTTCACGGATCTTTAGTGGTATTGCGACACTCCAATTATTTAACCCAATCAAAATACTCGGTCTTACATTTTTATAAGACTGTATGGGAAGTCCTTCCAAGTAGGGGTATCTTTCCACAATCTCCATCATATTTAATGTTTGTTGAGGTAGATCCAAATTTTCCACTGTATGCACAGAATTTAATTTAAATTTATTACCATTTGTAATATTCGAGATGTCAATCGATGTTCTTAGAGATGATTTTTCTTGACGAGTGGTATTGCCAGTCCATTTGAGGCACAATGATTGTTCCACGCCGTCTAGATCTAGTAGATCGAAGGTGTTCTTTTCTATTAAAGACACAGAAGATCCCTCATCAAGAAAAGCGTATGTATTAATGAAGCCATTTTTCTTATGAAGACGAATCGGTATGATTCTGAAAATTTTCGATTGATTCTGCTCTTCTGTGGAATGGGAATTAATTGTTTCACCTGTAGTGTTATTTGATGGTGCATTTTGGCTTGTGGATGGTAATGGATTACTGTCATATTTGTGAAGTAATTTGTGGTGCCTTATATTGCAACCATCAATACCGCATTCTTTGCTGGCAAAACATTTGCCTTTATGTTTATTTAAACACTGTCGGCACAAATTATTTTTCTTTACAACATCCCATTTTCTTGGTAATGTAAGCCCTTTGAAATCACTACACACTGACACCCTGTGATCACTTTCACACACATAGCACTTCACCTTGAAACCAGATTTTTCTTCTGAATGTGCATTAACGTTTGCGTTTTTAATCGTTGGAACGGCTGAAACAACTGTGCTTGCAGCTTCGGCGATTTGAAAAATCCAATCGCTGAAAGTTTTCACTATTGGCACACGATCGTCTTTTGGGTACATGGCCCAATTTAACTTATATTGGCTAGACAGTTTATCAACAAATTCTTTAACTAGCATGGGGTTATTCATATGGGATTCCATTTTGCACGCCTCCATGGTGGAATATATATTTTTTACACTAAGTGCGAGATCAATCATCGACTCCAGCTTATCTTTCGGTGGTGGTAACTTCCTTGCCTTTTCAATTACCCGTTCCAATATATGTTCTGGGCGTCCAAAATACATTCTCAAAGTCTGAATTATTTCAGGCACCATTGTAGGTAACATGAGCTTACTCTTTACCAGTTCTTTGGCTCTCCCTTTAAGGCAAGCTTGAAGCCGCACTAAATTTTCCACATGGGAATAACCAGCTACAGAGGTGCTATTTTCGAAAGAACTGATAAATAGCGGCCATTCTTCAGGATCGCCGTGGAAGTGCGGCAAATCACGGGGAATCGCTTGTCGTGCAGCTAACTGCGTTGACGTAGGTCCCGAAACCAAATTCCAGTTACCTGTTTGGCTTACATTTGTTTGTTGAATAAGTTCACATCCATTTATTTGAGACAAAATTTGATATTTCTTTTCCAGGAATTCCTGTTGTAAACGTTGCTGTTCTTCCAACAATTTCAGCTGTAAATCTACTTGCGCTGTCAAAGTAGCGTTCTGTTGAGAAGAATTTGTTTTTTGTTGAACTTTGCTAAATTGAAATAGCGAGCTTGGGGCTGCAGTAGATGTCGAAGGATTTGTTTTTAATGGACCTCCTGTAGAGTAGATCAGCTGTGTGTTGCCTCTGCTGTTCTGTGTGTTAGATAAGGTACTGATTCCGTTGCTCCCCTTTACCGATGAAGTTGAAACTACATTTATCGGCGGTAAAATCCCATAACCAATTTGATCTGTGATCGTACTTGCCAATTGCTGCGTCTCTCCTGTCGTTGTCGGTGACGACGTTGCTTGCGGCTGTTTAAGCAGATCCATAGAATTCGGTATAGCTGGATTATCTACTGTATGAGCTGTGGCATTAGTCCCTGCTGCATCAGTGTTGCAATTGCAGCCTTCACAATTCCAACTTATATTGGCAACTCCACTATTCACTGCAACACAATCGTAGTGATACCACTGATCACATTTGTCGCATTGTACCATGCGGTCATTGTCGACTGCATTGCATTTTTTGCAATTAAACTCAACTTCGTTTTCAGCCATTTATTTTTTACTTTATTTGAACTTGTGGTCTTCTTGACTCTTTTTCTTTTGTTTCACAAAATATTTTATTTTTTGTAAAGAGTTACAAAATTATTTTAAAAAATTATTTTAAAGAATGTTGCCCGTAAAATGAGCCGGCGTTAAAATAAAACACAAAATTTCTAAGAGCACTCCTTGTGCGTAAATATTTTAATTTATTTCTCTACGAAAGAGCAAGCGAGCGAGCGAGCGAGCGCTTTAAAATAATTTTGTTTTACACCGGCCTTTTACTGACTGCCCTGATGTTTTACAATTATTTTCTAATGACCGCAGATGCCTACGTGATACATAAACGTAGTCCGTTATAATTTATAAACAACTTGTTTAGTACTTATTTCGTATGTACATATGCACGTGTGTGCATACGAATATGTGTAAAGCAAGAATAATCTATTTACAAATATATGTAAATCAGTATGTGACAATTGGTAAATTTAAGAATTTAGTGGGAAGTATACCCATATCATAAATTTAAAAAAAAAATCTAAGTGATTATTAAATATCATGAGGATATCGGCGACAACAATAACAATTAATTGTTTATCTTCTTTTTTTAGAATCCTTGAAGGCATTAGTGCTCGAGCCTTGTTGGTAAATTTACGCAAACTTTGTGACTATTTGGTTAGTGAAGTGGTCTCCTATAATGGCAAAGAGTTTATACACAAAAGTGTCGATTCAATTAATAACATGATATGGAAATATAATGTGGTAACCATAGATCGTGTTGTCCTGTGTCTACTCATACGCACTCTCGAAGGCAATGAGGCCCAAGTTTGTTTCCTCATAATACAACTGTTGCTGTTGAAATCGAATGAAATGCGTAATCGTGTTTCCGAATTTTGTAAAGAAAATCCAGATCATTGGAAACAGAATAATTGGTAAGAACATAATTTAAATTTACAATTTGTTTGCCACTCGGATTAATTTTTTTAATTTACTTTTAAAGGCACGAAAAACATTTATCATTCCATCAGAAATTTCCTGAAAAATTTGCTCTGGATGAGTCTGCTTCACATCCACCTTTGCCGGTGTATTTCTCAAATGTTTGCTTACGTTTCTTACCTGTGCTGGATGTTTTAATTCATCGTTTTATAGAATTGCCCATTCAACATGTTCATCAAATTTTAGAAGTGATCCTAGATCATTTAAGTATTTTATACAAATTTCACGGTAAGTCATACGAATAAAATGTCCGGGGATTTTTTTCTTTTCAAATTGCATCATTTATTTTTAATTTTTTTGTTCCCTTCCAGATCGTCCTATAACATACTTGTACAATACCCTGCATTTCTTTGAGCGTATTTTAAGGGAACGCCCGTCCCTGAAAAAGAAATTGGTAAGCTATAGAACAAAATGTTTTTATAAAAAAACAAACTAATGCCAACATTTTCGATTTAGGTAAGTTCGTTGACGGGTGCATTTGCCGATATACGTCCAGCCAATTGGTGTGTTAGTGAACCGTACAAACTTTATTTACAAAGTCCAGATTTTCTATGGAATCCAGAATTATCATATTATATTAAGCTGATACAACGCTTGACAGATAGTAAGTTCAGTGGACAGTTTTTTTGATGCGAATATTCTGATCTAATATTTTTGTTTTCTTTACAGCCATAAGCGGTAAAAATGTCTTCTACAATACAGATTGGCGTTTCAATGAATTTTCGAATGCCCCGTCGCATGCAATGTATGTAACCTGTGTTGAACTATTAAGTTTACCGGTGGCCCCGCAAATTGTGGCCAATAATATCATAGATGTTATTGTAAAAGGCTATGCCTTGATACCACAAAAAGAAATTCATGCCTATTTGAATTCGGTTGGCATTGTTTTGGCTGAATTGCCTGAGGCATATTGGAGTCAGATCTATGAAAGGTTGCTGGAGGCCTTAAATTCTCCAAAAATGTTGAGATGGTCATATCGTTTCAATGCATTCGAAATGTTCAACTTTAAAATGGTGCGTGAGGCCATGATAGAAAAAACCTATGCGGTTATTTTGGCTGTGGCCCATTCGGTTTTCCATCACATGGGTGGTTTTAAATTGGCCACCATGACTAGGTAAGTTTTGTGACTTCATAATTGTGGGGTATAAAAAAAGAAATCTATTTTTTGTATTTCTTAGATACATTAAGGAAAAACTGAAACCCTGTGTACGCACCGAACATCAATTGATATTCTTGTGTCATGTTTTTGGTCCATTTCTGCAACGTCTCGAACAGGAGAAACTCAATGGCGTAGCTGGCATAGCCATTCTACTCTATGAAATGTTGGAAGTTGTCGACAAACAACACGGCCCTGCACCTCTGGAATATCTTGATCCCATATGCGACTTTTTGTATTACATTAAATACATCCATGTTGGCAATATAATCAAAAATGAATCCGAGGCAATCATCAAGCGTTTGAGGCCAGCTTTACAAATGCGTTTGCGTTTCATAAGTCATTTGAATATCGATGATAAACATGTGGACAATAAGCCTCCAGAAAATATTCAACAACAACAGCAGCAGCAGCAACAAAATCCACAACAACAACAACAAATGCAAAATGTCAGTAATCTGAATACACAAATGGCCCAACAGCAGCAGCAACAGCAAACAGGCCAACAAGCTACAAATTTTGTGCCCAATACAATGCAACAGAATTTTGGAAATATGACCAATCAACAGCAGCAGCAACAACAGCTCCAGCAGCAGCAAGGGCCAATGCAAAATATGGTTAATAATCCCTCACAGCAACAAGGTAATCAGAATGTCCCTCAGATGGCCGGAATGGCTGGACAACAACAACAGCAAGCGGCACAAATGAATCAACAACAAATGCAACAATTGCAAATGCAGCAACATTTGATGCAACAACAACAGCAGCAACAAGGTGGCCCAATGCGCCATTAAAATAAAATACTAAACATACATATTTATATAAAAACAAAACTTACATTATATGTATTAAAGAAGTAATAAAAAATAAAATAAAAACATTTCCAATCATAATTTATCTACTATCTTTACACACAGAGAGGAGGGTCGTTGTTTTTTCTTTGGTTCTTGTTGTTGTTGTAATTTTTTCCCATTCGAATGTGTTTCTTAAAAATCGAGCATACACCAGGCAAACAGAATTGAGTAGTAGGGGTGATTTTCATAAAAAAAATAAAAATCTAGGAAAACTAAAGCATACTTTTAGGCGAATCAAAAATAAAAATTCCTAATACACTGCCATCTATACTTGACAGATGTACATTATCGCATTTGTGTAATGTAGATGGCGATGCATGTTCTCACATTTAAAAAAGAGCAAACAGATCCAAAGCCGAATGTTTCAAATAAAACTGCAATTATTTGTAATAAAATAAAACGTATATTTAAAAATAAATCCACAAACATAATTTTTTTCTCTCTTGGGAATAATACACAAAAAATACAATCATTAACAACAAATAACATTGCTTTCTTTATACATGATATTCTTGTTTTTGTTGTTGTTTTTTCTTTCAATCCAACAATTTCTTTTTTGATTTCGGTGTCGATATTGTTTTTAGAGCTACACGGCGAGGGGTTTTATTACTTGGCGTAACCGGTGGTGGTGCCTTCGAGGAATTTTCATTTTTACTTTCGGATTTTATGGCATTTTCCGTTCCGGTGCTCTCATCTGCCGCCGCCGCCTTTGTAACAGCCATTTGTTCTGGGGCTTCTTCCACAGTTTCTTCATAAACTAAACATATATCCTCGGTACGATCGCATGTTTCATCGCCTGGAGGTAATGGTTTAATACCTTCTTCTTTCGTTGAGATTTTTTTAGTTTTTGTATCGGTGCTGTTCTTGCTGGGAGGTGGATTTGACTCTTCTTTGGTGAGAGGCCATGCATCCATTGCCTCTTCAACTAAAGTGGGTGTATTCACCGGCGGTGGAACACTAATGGAATTACGTGGTGTCCTTCTGACTGATATGGGGTTAGCCTTCTTTTCTCGTATTGGTGTTTTGGCAGGTTTATCATCTGCCGAAGAGGATGATGCTGCGGCGGCTGCATTTATGGCCTTTGCAAATGTTGTTGGACTTTGTGAAACTTGTGTACCGGTACTGGGTGTACGTGGATGCCTTCTAACCGATATGGGTGTTACGGGACGACTTTTCTTTTCAGGAGATTCGAATTTTTCTTCCGAGCTAAGTATTTCTTTATCCAAAATTATTACCGGCTTAGATGCTTTTGGTGGAGTTTTCTCTTCTGCATCGTCTGTTGCTTTATTTTTGTCTTCCTTGGGTGTTCCAACAGGTCCGGGTTTACGTTTAATAGCAATGGGTGTTGCTGGTTTTTCTTTAGCATTTTCATCCACTGGTCCCGGTTTGTGTTTAATCGCAATTGGCGTGGGTTTTTGTTTGTCCTTGCTTTCTGATTTCTTCTCCTTGTCTGTTTGTGTTTCAACTGCACCTGGTTTACGTTTAATGGCAATTGGGGTTGCTTCTTTATCGGACTTATTTTGAGGAGTTTCAGAAGTGCTTGGTTTACGTTTGATGGCAATAGGCGTGGCTTCTTTATTCGACTTATCTGAAGGAGTTTCATTTGTGCTTGGTTTGCGTTTGATGGCAATAGGCGTGGCTTCTTTATCGGTCTTATTTTGAGGAGTTTCACTTGAACTTGGTTTACGTTTTACTGCAATCGGAGTGGCTTGATTTTCAGTCTTGGTTTGTGGTGTTTCAGCTGATGAGCTGGGCTTGCGTTTAATAGCAATGGGTGTAGCCTGAGTTTTGTCAGTTTTCTTCTCTGTTGTAGTATCAACGGACGCCTCAGTGGGCCCCGGTTTACGTTTGATTGCGATTGGTGTTGCCTGAGATTTATCATTATTCTTCTCTGTGGGTGTAGCTTTAGAGATATCATTGGGTCCTGGTTTACGTTTAATGGCGATTGGTGTGGCTTTTGGTGTTTCATCATTATCAACGTTCTTTGCAGCACTTTCTGTACTATTTGATTTATCAACTTTTTCTTCATCTTTATCCTTCTTACCATTAGTTTCTGGTTTCCCTTCTTCAATTTTCTCCAGCGATGGTTCCTTGGATGATGTAGTAGCTGTAACTTTTGCTTCATTACTGTCATCGACTGAGGATTTCCGATTCCTGCCATCGCTATCCTTGGATTTCTTTGATTTTGTAGTCTTGCCGATGACTTGGGCCAAAGCAGCTTCCAGCACTGCATCAGTATCTTCATACACTTCACCCAATTCACCCTCGTCGAATGTAATAAGTGAACAGAAACCATCTGTACTGGATACAACTACAACGCGACCATCATTCGACCACGTTATATCTGTTAAACGAGTATAATGGATGTTCGATATCAATGCAAATGGTTGCTTTTGTTGGGTATCATAAAAGTAAACTGAACTTTTTGTTGCCACAGCAAATATCATACGATATGGTAGCGGCACAACGGGTGGATTCTTTTCTTCATCATAGGGACGTAAGCGATACAACAGTGGGGAACAACGTACAGCCACAGTGTATTGTTCGGGGCAGGGCAAAACTATTGCTGGTTGACGGAAATTAAAACGGCTAAATACATATGTGGTGTGCAAGGGATGAGTACATCCATCGTAGTCGGTGAGACCAGAAGGTGTAAGTAGAAGTTTGCCATCTGGGGTAAAACTTAGACGGCGGAAAAATGTTTGCAGTGTATCATCATGAAAGAGATGCATTGTTTTGCCATGTAAATCATTGCCTTCCGGAACGGGTAACGTGCCTTTTCTAACACGATATAGTACCTTCTTGGATTGAATATCAAAAATGCGCAAATATCTGGGGAATAAAATGAAGTGATTAAGTAAAAGAAACTTTGGGAGGAATGCACATACATACCTATCTGTACTCAGTGTTGCTATGTACTGATTTTTCGGATCCCAAGCCACACCTTGCACAAAACCTTTGTGATCATTTAATATTGCCAATGATTTTCCTTTTTGTACATCCCATACCATGGCCGAATTGTCGACAGATCCCGATACCAAAAACTGTGAATTGGGTGACCAACTCAAATCGTAGATGTCTTCCATGTGACCACGCAACACCTTCAAAGTGATCCACACTTCTTTGTCTTGATCATTGGAAGGATCCAAAATATTAATTGGTTCACTATCCGATTTTTGTTTCCATATGAAGACAACACTCTCATCATCGCCGGATGCCAATAGTTCACCACTTGGTGACCATTTGACGACATTAACCGCTCGTTGATGGCGAGTTAAATCGGCAGCCAAATCCAATTCAATATCACCATGATCGCCCGAAGTTAATTTCATGTACCATATTAAGACATGGGCATCTGTACCACCGGAACACAAACGGTATATATTGTCGGAAGATTTTGGTTGTATATCAACACTTAATACTGGGTCACGATTATGCCATGATATTTCGGGTATTTTGCACTTCATAATTTGTTTTGTTTGTAACTAAAATGTCCAATTTTTTGCAAATATAAAATTTTTTCAACGTAAACCAGCAACCCACTGCAAAACTAATGGTTGAGTTTGAGTGAAGCGTACATTTCTCCCGCCTTTTTCAGCGACAGCAGAAACATTGAAAAACGTTCCACCTTTTACGAATGAGATGGGATAAAACAAAATGCTAGATAAAGAAGAAGTCAAAGGAGAACCGAAAGTTACGAATGAGGTGGGATGGATACTAAAGCTGAATTTTTGAACCGATCAAATTTAAAAACGTTCCAAACGCTGTGAATGGGGTGAGAGTGACGTGAATGTCAGAAATCACGTTGGAGTGGTAGCATGGACATTTAAATGATGACGTATTTTGTTGACACAATCGGAATGGATTAGCTTTGTGAAGTCAATAAATTTAGTTTTATTTTAAATAATATATTTCAAGAAGTTAGTGATTTTAAATTATTACGCATCTTATTACATGATTGTTGAAAATACACTCACCTTGAAAGAATAACATGTGTTGTTTACACTCATTGAATTGATTCTCATTAGTGTACCAAGTAACGTAATAAAACAACATTTAATTTAAATACAATTTATTTCAATAAATATTTATAAACAAATTAAGCTCATATATATTTTTTTCTTACCTTTGTAAACCCAAAGTAGTTGCCAATGAAAAAATGAAAAGCGTATGTTTTTTACCGTCTCTTTATTAATTTTAATTTATTATATAATATATAATTTTATATTAATTCAAGATTTATCTCTCTCTAACACCGGGAGATTTTATTATGCTGATTTTTGTTTTTCACTTTTACATACAAATATGGTTTTAAAGGACTCTTCATTATTTATTTGCGAATGTGTTTAGATTTTTTTTTTTGGATTTTTGTTTAATATTATAGTAGTTTTTTCTACTTTACGAATCATTTTTTTTATTAATTTCTTTTATAAGAATAATAATATAATTTATGAATTTTTTGATAAAGAAGAAACATAAAAAAATGATTGACTTTGTAAAATTAATATTAAAATAAGAATATATAAATAATGAAAAGGTTTTGTAACGTTTAACCACACAAATTGTATTTGGACAACTAAAGCATTTTTGTAACTGGTTGATTATTAATAATACCAGTTGAAAAAGAAACTTAATTACTGTAACTAAATAGCATTTTTTTCGTTTAACACCTAATGATCTTTTACTAACTAGTATTAATAACTCGTTTGTATTTTTTTTATTTTTGGTTTTATTGTTTTTATCTGCTTGGTTTCATTTCTTATTCATTTGGTTGATTTTTTTTTTTGGAAAGAGGTCATTCAGGAAAAATTCTAGCCATTATTAATGTGTCCTGTCTTCTGTTATATAAGACGCAATGCGTGTAAAGTAATAAATGTTTGATGGTGTTTATGTATTTTTTGTGTGTGTGTGGCGGTGTATTGAGTTTGAAATTGAACTACCTAAATAAACCTAGGGAGAGACAAATAGACAATTTCCAACAAAACTTATTTTTGGGGGAATATAATTGGTATGTTATTATATACTTCCTTATTAAGTCTTGTAAGTTTATTTAGAATAGCTCCCGTTTATAAATTGTTTTGTTTTTTTTTTACATTTTGTATATATGTGAAAAAAAGTGGTCTTATTTTGTTCTTGTGAGTTTTGAGCTTAGAAAAAATGTGAATGATGAGTTTTTACAAGGATAATATGTCTTCTTTATTTTACTTTTATTGTTATAAACATTTAAATAAATATAGAAATTGAGAAAATTATATGCCAAGTGAAAGGGGGAAAAAGCAAATTTTAAACATTTCATACTGCAATGTATTAAATTTTTAAATTAGCATTTCGTTTCGATGTATGACAAATAGAGATATATTTATCACAATCGATTTGATGTTTAATCGTAAAACACGTTTGATGTAAATGCAGCATATTTAAGAAATTGTAATAAAGTATGTCTGATGTAAACATAACTAAGTTTTAGCCCTTGGTTAAAATAACATGCAATCAGCTGATGCATTATTAAATGCCAGTCAGCTGATTTCTGTATGAATTGATTTACATATGAAGTGCGCTACAGAATATTGAATCGATTATCGAATTGTTGCTAAAATTAATTTCCACATAGTAATAACTTTAATTCGATTAACATTTATTCACGGCAATAATATATTGGCATATATGTCTCTCAATTTTTATAAATATGTATGTAGTTGATATATTCCTGCAGAGTTTGAGGATGTAGTTACTCCTGTTTTGTGTTTTGTTCTTGTTTGTTATTATTATTATGATGAAATATATTTAATTTGTTGTTGTTTTTTTTATAGATTTTGTTTAATATTCTCTCAAAATTATTTGAAATATTTCTAGTAAATAACTTTTTGTTGTTATAATTACATCATTTTTTGTATTCAAGACTTTTTTTACTTAATTTCTTTTTTCATGTTGTTAATGTAAACGTTTAATCTATTTGTGATTTCTTTCTTTTTAATTTAAATTATTATATTTTATTTATTTTTTGTTTTAATAAATATAATTACAAATAATCTGTGTTTTGTTTTAGAGATTTGTTTGTTGTTATTATTTGTAAAAATGGTCACTTTGAAGTTTGCTATTTTTTATTTATTTAATGGTAAATAATGTTTTTTTTTTGTTTTTTATTAATGATATTTTTTCTGTAAAAATTGTGAAGAGAAAAAATTAGTTTGTTTTTTATTATTATTTATATATTGGTTTTCCATTTTGTCCATGTTTTTGTTTTTTTTTTTTGTTATTTAAATGTATAGGTATGTTGTTTTTATTTGAGATTTCATTTTGTTTATTATTAGTTTTGGTTTTTTTGTTTAAGATATTTATGTCTCATTCATTGTTGTTGTATTACTTTTGTTTTTCTTATAAATTTATTTATTATTTTCAAAGATGAAGTTGTGCTTTTTAAAAAAGTATAAATATGAGCTTTAAAAGTTGTTAAATGCTGGTTGTATAGTTGTTGTTATAGAAGGTATAATTAAAAAAAATAAATATTTATGTGTTTTGTTTTAATGGTCAGAGTTGTTAGTAATTCCCTCCCCAAATATAAAATTAGATAAGACAAAAAATTATTATTATTTAAAAACAAAACATACCATGTCAAAAAATCTTTCAGACATAACCTCACATTTTTTGTTAAATATATTTCAAAAAATACCAATATGTTATACAAATTTCTAAAACAAAATAAAGAACGGTAAGTTTTATTCAATTCCGAACAACACTGTAATATTTGTTTATATTAAATCAATTTGTTCGTGTATAACCCCAAATAAATATAAGGGGTTATAGGTTGAAACCATTTCTTTTTTATGTTGCACAAAATTTTTCTGCAAATTATTCTTTTTTTTTTAAATACGAAGGAAAGAAGAAGCGCCGTTTTGCCACTAGGGCTATCAGCTGTTTTTGAACATTTAATTATTCAGAGTGTTATTTATATAAATAATTTATAAAAATTATGTAAAACTTACCGATTGTCTTTAGATATTTTTCAATAAATTAGGCTGTAAGAACAAAAATTCGAAAATAATACACACAAATTAATGAAAATTATATAAATACTTTTCAAATAAAGAAAACAATTTCCAAATTTTGTCTGTTTTTTTATTTAGTTTCTTTATATATATTTTATTTATTATTATAGATTTAAATTAAATATGTAATTCATTATGCATTGATGAAATTTTTGGTTTTTGTTCTCTTGTTGTTGTTTGCTAAAAATTAAATATTTAAATACTTTTTCTTTTACTTTCTTGTTGTTGTTTTGTTCGAAAGTGGAAAGTTCCCAAAAAAAAGAAAATGCTTACATGCTTCGCCTTCTTGAGGAACCATTAAATCAATATAAAAATAATTAATTAATTAATATAGGAACTCTGACAACAAGAAATTCAAAACACTATTTTCACGAAATATTACTCGTTGTTGTAAAATTGGAAATGTGTTGTACATACATACATACTTATAAATCAAAAAAAAAAAAAAAAAAAGGAACAGCAAACATTTATATATTAGATTTGAAAAACAAACACATTTCTGTATTTGACAAGAAAATTATGAAATAGTGTTATTCTTCTTCTTCATGTTTTCTTTTGCCGAGTATCCTTAATTACATTTAAATATATATATATAAATATTTTTTTTGTTTTATAACATTTGACTTATTAGCTGCTAATTTGTATATTATGTGTATATAAATTAGAGATATTTATTTTTACTGTGGGTTTTTTGTTTTCGTTTTAATTTGTTCTTCTTGTTTGATTTTGCAAACCATATAAAAAATGATTCAAAATAAATAAAAAAATATTATAATTAAAAACAAAAAAATAGTTATAACATTTAGAGAGCTTTTTTTAAAAGTTTTGTTGTTGTTGTTTTTCAAATATAAATTACAATTTAAGTTGTGTTTGTGCTTCGTTTCTTTCGAAACGGAATTTTTTTTCGAAATATGAAAAAAATGTTAAATGCCATTCTTTCTTTATAGAGAATAGGTAAATTTAATTAATACATTTACAAAGTAATACATATACATACACAAAAAATTGGATTTTTATTGTTTTTTTTTAGAATTATTAAAAATTAAATAAATTGTTCATATGGAAGTTGTAAAGCAGATAACTTTTTTACTTCCATAAAAAAAAACAAGGAAATGCAAATACATACAATGTTTTTGTTTTTATCTGGTTCTATTTAAAGAAATGGGCGCAATTTTTAAGAAAATAATTGCTACAAATGAAAATTAAATTTCCGTCTGGGGTATAGAAATTTAATTTTCATTTAAAAACTCATCCTGCAATGTATTAACTTTTTTAAATTAGCATTATTGCCTCAATGTATGACAAATAGAGATATATTTATATCAATCGATTTATGATGTTTTATCATAAAACATGTTTGATGTAAATGTAGCATTATTAAGATATTTTCATAATGTCTGATGAAAACATGATTAAGTTTTAGCCCTTAGATACGCTTTAACATTCTGATCATGTTATAATTACATACAATCAGCTGATTTCTGTAGGAATTATTTTACATATGAAGTGTGCTACAGAATATTGAAACTCTACATAAAACAGCTGATTCATTATTAAATGTCAGTCAGCTGATTTCTGTATGCATTAACTTACATATGAAGTGTGCTACACATTATTGAAACTCCACATACAAACAGCTGATGCATTATTAAATGTCAGTCAGCTGATTTCTGTATGAATTAATTTGCATTTGAAGTGCGCTACAGAATATTGAAACTTTATGAATTGTTGCTAAAATTAATTTCCACATAGTAATAACATTGATCCCATTAAAATTTATTTACGGCAATAATATATTGGCATATACGTCTCTCAATTTTTATAAATATAACCTTGACATAACCAGAAGACATGTTTTATATATATATATTTATATTTTAATTCAAATTGCCTTGTTGAAATGCTATAGGGATACAAAAACATGGCAAACTTCCCATAATGCTCATTGAAACAGGTCTGTTGGACCTGAAGCAGTCAAAATCGGACATTCTGATTGAAATATCCCTAACTTGGCTGTCAACATTTTTGTTTTCATTTTCATATTACTTACTTATGAATGGGTGTGAGAAGGGTTAAAACTTTGTTTTAATAAAAATTAAAAATTAAATTTGAGCCTTCAAAGTTCCAATGTAAAATAAAATAACATTAGAATTTGATTGCAAAAAAATCGACCTTCGTTGTAATGCCAAACAAATAAAGAATGATTTTTTTTATCATCCATTTATCCTCTAAAATATTTTGTGGTAAAAACGATTTCTTGGTGTATTAGAGACGATATTTGCTTTTGTTTGTTTTGTTGTTTTTTATTACAAATACATTTATGGCAAGTAAATTAATAAAAGTTTATGTGTATGCGTCATTTACAAATATAAATCTTAAATTATTATTGAGATTGTAAAAAATATAAAATTAAATAATAATAATAAAAAACAAATAATTTATACAGCCTGTAGTTGTTGTTGATTTTGTGTGTTGCGTGTGTTTGTGTGCGTATGTTTACTTTTTTAAATAACTTAAAGTTTGTTGTTTTTATAGATTTGTGCTTTCATTTATTTTGTAATTATTATTCTTGATAGAGCAATTTTATGTATATATAATAAAATTTAAAAAAAAAATTAAATAAATTAACATTTTGTTGTGGCATAAGTTTGACTAAGAATGTTTCTGTTTACGTCGTTATGTTTTGTATATATCCTTATATTAAAAAATTAAAAAAAAAACAAACAAACAAAATAAGAAACAAAATTAAAACACACATACACATATTATCCATTTATACATACACATGGACAACACAAAAATTATATATATTTATATTATATAGTAGTGTATATAGATAGATACATACATATGTATATGTATGTTGTTGTTTGTTTGTAGTTAAGAGCAAAATAGAAAAGAAAAATAAATAAATAAGAATTGCAACTAACTTAAATTTAAATGCTAAATTAAACAAAGAAAATAAAAAAAAAAACTCAACATGCCAACGAATTTAAAGGGATTGTAAAAGGCAACCATTGGAAAACACATACAAAACTGTAAAGAAAAAACCCGTACAATTTTGAAAATGCTACCATTTTGCCCGATTTAGAATTCCCAAAAAATTATGCTTGTGCCATGCTGCGGTCCATGATAAACATAAATTCAATTCTATATATTTTGAAAAACCAGTTTGTAAGAGAGAATTACTATTCTTGAGAGGAGGGGGATCCTTTTTCTTCTGTTTTCTGTAGAGTAGCTTGTTTTTGATGAGAGATGCTTTGTTTTGAATGATTTCTTTTGCAAATTGTTACAACAAAGTAGTAGTATATATTTTTTATGAAATTTGTTTTGTTCTTTTTGTTTACTATCATTGTTTATTTAATTTTGTGTGTTGTGATATTTTTCTTGTTTTGTTTTCATTCCTGTTCTTTACACAGAGATTTTGAAGATGGTGGGTTTTGTTTTTGTTTAATCATAATTTTTGTTTGTCCATTCCATTTTGGTTTTTCTGATATTTTAGAACTTTACTATTGTTTGTTGTTGTTGATTTCTGGTTTTTTGTTTTAGTTTTCATTGATTTTGCTTCTTCTTCTTAAATTTCATCTTTCTGTTTTTTTTTGTTTGTTTCTAAATAAATATTTTTGTCGTTTCATTTTGTTGTTGTAATGACTGAATTTTCTTGTTCTTTGCTTTTGTTTTTTTGTTTTTTTTTTTGGAGAAAATTATAAAAAAGTGGAAACAAACTTTTTAATAAAGACCGCAACCTCTGAGATTATTGGCGATGATAACATCGGTGACAGCATCGAATACAAATTGTATATTGTTTGTGTCTGTAGCACACGTCATGTGGCAGTAAATTTCTTTTGAGGTTGATTTGTTTTTCGCTTCAAATTGAGCCTGGATATATGCAGCTGCCTCACCATATTCTTGACCACCTGGAAATGAAAAAAAGTGAAAATATTAGAACCAATATTATACCTATGTAGTTATAAATTAAATCTAGAGGGTCACAGTTCGAACTTTATTTTTACATACACTCCAAATGACCAGAATTTACATAGAATGCTTGACACTAGGGGAGGAATTTAATTTCATTCAAAAGGTCTTATTTGAGTCTAGCCTATGATGTCCATCGATCATAGAAATAATAACTTAATTAATTATGACCCGAACACAGCGAAATGTTCACTTTTTGTCATATCAAGGTTGAATATGGGCTATAAGATTACACCCAAATGTTCAATACCTTGAAGATTTTTTATGCTTTTTCAACCGAATTGGGTATTGGTACCCATCAAAAACTTGGTAATCACATATCATTATTTCCTGCTGGATTTGTATGTAATATATTACAAATAATGACCGTTAGGCTACGTTTAGACTACTAAAAAACCACTCGATCTCAACCGTCAATTCCATTGCGTATACGTCAAATATAATCCACTGGATTTGTGAACAGGATTAACGTGACGTATACGCTATGTAATTGACGTTTGAGATCGAGTGGATTTAATTAGTAGTCTAAACGTATCTTTATAATAGCTTATAACACCAATTATTTTCAACCGCAATACTTAAAAAATATATATAATCTATTAATGTTATAAACATTTCCATTCGTGTAGTAACATTTCTACAATAATTCCTGTTTTTAATTTACAATCAAGAAGAAACGAAAGAAATTCAAAAATGTTTATTTAAAAATATAGTTACAGCGTTTGATGATAGCAAAAGATTTGTAGTTTTAAACACAATAAAAGCCTTATTAGGAGCAAAAAATGCATGCCAGAGAAGAAGAAAAAATCTAAGGGTGTAGTACTGAAAAAGTACAAAATATGTATACTTAATTAGGAAATATCAGTAAGTACTTCCCCAGAACTGGTTATAATAAATCATTAAATATGTACTTAAAGAATACCTTTGAGTACTTTCTTCCTATTGGGTTTGTAGGCGGATTGGTAAGTAGTTACTACTACCAAAAATTGCTGGGTAGATATTGTGGATTCTCATTACTTGGACATTGCTCCTATCAATATCGGTCCACTTTAAGGTATATGCCCTATTGGCAAATTTACTTTTCGGAATCTCAAACTCGGAATCTAAATGATAAATCGGAATCTAATGGATAAAAGTGTGGAGGAGGTGTTATCGTATTCGATTTCATTATATAACCTTCTTACAGTGCTGCAACATTATTATTTTCTCAATTTAAGACGCATTTTAGATATATGTAAAATGCCATTATTAACTTACCTGTATATTCAGGGAAACAGATTGTCAGTGGACTCTTTCGGATTTTCTCTTCGAATAAATCCTTTTTGTTTAAGAATAAAATGATCGAAGTATCCGTAAACCATTTATTGTTGCAAATGGAGTCAAATAGTTTTAATGATTCTTGCATTCGGTTCTAAAATGGAAATAGAAAAGAAAAATTAATTTAAATATTTAAAAAATATATAAAAGAGAAAACTTACTGTAGTTTCATCTTCATGCAAAACTTGATCATATTCGGACATGGCAACACAAAATATAATCGCAGTTACATCTTCAAAGCAATGGATCCATTTCTTTCGTTCCGAACGTTGGCCGCCCACATCAAACAACCTAAAAAAGAAAAAAATTTTTTTTTGTTAAAAAATGTATTATTTTGTATTTGGAGGGGGGTGTTGGTGACTTACTTGAAGTTAAGATTTTTAAATGAAAAGTGCACTTCAACAATACCAGTTGTTTTGACACGAGTACGCAATATATCCTGTTCGGTTGGTTGATAATCTTTGGCGCCTAACCGATCCAAATCGTCCAGGAAACTAAAATGATAATAAAAAGGGAGAGAAAAAATTGTTATTAATAAATTTGACAAATAAACAAAAACACAGATATTAAGGCTAAATAATTTGACCTAAATAGAAATTATGGTGATTGCATTTGAATAATATACATAAAAAATGAAATGGAATGATGTAATAATAATCACATATCCATTTCAAATTGTCCCAACAAATAGATTAGAGATGTGCTGAATCTCTGTTTGTTTGGCTTGGCGGTATGCTGCATGCATGTACGTGTTTATATGGCTGATTAGCACTCAAGTGTAAAGAGGTGGTTTATCAAATTTGTATTCGTTGTTGTTGTTGTTACTATTTATTTTATCCACTTACAAATCGTTTTTTATCATCTCACATATAAAAGCTGAAATTATTTCAAAGTTGTACCTTTATTGTAGTTGTTGTTTTCTTTTACTTGTATACCTAATATAAAAAATTTATTGCCTTGGGTTGTAATTAACAAATTTGTCGATTGCATCCCCAATCCGCTTTTGTAATTTCAATTTGTGTTTCTTTTGCTCGCATTTAAAATAAAAAAACAACTTGTGTTGGTATTTTTAAATTGTTTATGAAGAGTTTTAAAAGATTCACCAACTATTTCGAAATGAAATTGAAGAAGGCTTTAAGAGAAGATACAAGAAAGAGGGTGCAGTGGAGCTACAATAGTATTCAAAATTTAATTTTGAAAATTGAAATTTTATTTCACCAGTCAAGGAAGTTAAGCTATTGTAATTGAAAAATCATACATTTAATTTTGGTAATTTATATGGTTCATAGCTCAATAAATATTTCAAAGAATACAGTAAAGAAATACATTAAGAAGGGCAGATATTGATTAAATTTTATAAAATTATATAAAAAATGATGGAAGTAGATCAAATGAATTTAAGAATTTAACAGAAATACAATATGGCTGTTTATGAGGTTTCGAAATTATAACCCTTTTCTTTAGGCCCAATACAACTCTACAAATCTCAACACCATGTCACGTTTATTTAATTTATCATTCGAAGTAATTTGAGATTCAAATCTAAAACACATGTAAATGTCACTTATTTTGAGGAGTGTAATGATGTCATTAAAGTCGGGCTTCATCATGAAACCTTTTTATACGTTTAACCACACCGCAGATGGAAGATAAAACTTTACCTAAATGTGCGTAATGTTTAAAGACAAATATATCTATAAACATGACGGTAGACGTAGTGAACAAAATTTGAATGAAAAAAATAATAGAAATGTATTATTGTAATTTACTACAACAGCCTGATGCCTCCCACTATAATCACCACACAACTATTACGAGTAGTAATAAAATACAATTAATGGATTTTAATGCATTATTTATTTAATTACGACTTTATCGTATTGAATGTGGACGTGGTAGTATGATCTAGAATTGTTCTGGCATTTGAAATAAAAATATAATGCAATATGTTACATATATTGTACATAAGAAATAGCCAAATAGCATATAGAACGTTAGAGAATCTGAGAGGTAGAGCCAAGATTGATAAAAACTTTGACAGTTTTTCCTCGGTAGAAAATTAGTCTACATCTTATTGACATTTTTTCTTTGTAGTCAATGCCTGTAATATAAAATCGCAGAGTTATTATGACTACATATTTTTCTAATTACAATAATTAGAGGTTATATAGAATATTAACGAGAATTCATTATTCACTTTGTAGCAAATAATTAAAAACAGCGATTTTTGGTCCTTCTTTCACTTAAAATTTTATCAAGAAATTAGTTTTATAATGATGTTTTTTAATAATTATTTTTAAGGATGGTAATAAGAACTTTTTTTGCTTTATGTCTTATGTTCTCTTGGTCAATTTCTTTGCATCTTTGTTTTTATATATTAATTATTTTGTTTTCAAACATAACAATTTAAAGTCTTCCTCTAAATTACATATTTCCGGTTGTAAGTCTCTCATAGACGGATGCATTTAGAAATGTAAGGCGTTTAAATAAATATGTTTTGACTTTGTAGTTATTAACTGTGACAGTTATTGCTACATTGCGCCCGCCATCACTTGTCAACAATTTAGATGAGAGATAAATAACAAAAGTCAATTAGACTGGAATTAAGAAAATACGTTTACGAGGGCTTTGATAAGTATTAAATGGAAAAACAAATTAATTAGTATTTTTTTATTTTATATTTTCTTAAAATAAGTAAATAAAACACCAAAAATATATTGTTAGAAATATGGGCGAGAAATAGCTTCTCTCTCCCTTTGATTGGTGCATCACTAATATAGATGACGTCTATAGACAATTAAACTCAGAGTCTGGCATACAAAGAAACAATGTCCTTATAAATATGACATTTAAAATTAATTTCTATCCATCTTCTTTCTATCCTTTGTTGCAATTACAATTTTAATTATTTTGTATACAAACACACAAATTTAATGTATTCCTCTAAATTATATACTTCCGTTTGTAAGTCTTGCACAGACGTATTCTTCTGGAAATGTAAGGCATTTAAATAAATTTGTTTTGACTTTGTAGTTATTAACGGTGACAGTAATTGCTACAGGGCGCGCGCCATCACTTGTCGACAATTTAGATGAGAGATAAATAAGAAAAGAGAACTAGACTGGAATTAAGAAGATACGTTTACGAGGGGTTTTATAAACTGATTTCATCATTTATAATAGAACAAAATTTATTTAGTATTTTAAAATAAATTAGATTATATTTTTGTTTAAATCAACAAATAAAATACCAAAAATTATCGTTTAAAATACTCTCTCTCTCTTTGATTAATACACCACTAGATGAGATTGAAGCTGAGGGTCTTACATATAAAGGAGGGAAGAATGGTGGAGAAGAAAGTTTCAAAGGAGTAAATCAAAAGCTAATTTTATTAACTAGCTTTAAACAATGAAGTATGACATTTAAGGCCCTCTTATGACTGCTGGATAAGTAAAAAAACGTATATTTTTAAATTTCTATTTCATGATTATTCTAGATCATTTTTTTAATTCTTTTAAACATATATTTGTCCCATAAACATTTACCAACTACCATGTAGACAATTGCGCATAAAACAATATAAGTAGGCATACTTCGCAATGTATGTAGGTTGTATACATATAACCACTTAATATAATTAAAAATACAAAAAAAGAAAAAAACAATTGCCATACATTTATAATACCCCGCGGCAATTATCAGTAAATTGTAATTGTTTCATAAAGATGACTATGCTGTTTTTATTATGTACATGATATCAACCAAAAATTTATATTGTATTGCTAATAAATATGAAATATTAACAAATTGTAAAATTATATAAAAAACCGGCAAAATTTTTGTAGTGGGCCTATTTTTTCACACACACAAAAAATGTTAATAATTAAAAACAAAAATTGCTGAAACCAAAAAAATTGTAAAAAAAAAACAATTTGTGAAATATAAGAAATTTTGAAATGGTATTGGTCAACCCACAGTGGATTACCATGGCATAAAACAATTTTTTCAATTGTTTTTGTTTTGCTGGACTATGAAGAATTCACTGAAGCATTGCTGATTGTTGGTTTGTTCGCTCATCCCCCCACACACACAACCGTTGCTTTCTAGACCACCGTCTGCCACCATAAAATATTGGTAAATCATGATTTCTTTGTTAACAACATGAAAATCAAAAGTATTCCTCTTTGTTAAAACAATGGAAAAATTTAAATTGAAATAAATATTTCAAAATAATTCTTGTATTGCAACATTTTTTTTTTAAATGGAAAAATTCAAAATTAAAAAAATAAACAGTCAGTTTTGAGATTTAAATTTAGCTGTTAAAATGTTTACATCAAAATCAAAACTTTAATTTTATCTTAAGTTATTGGGTGCCACATTAATTAAAAAATATGCCAACATAACTGCCGGAAAACTGACTAATGTCAATGGAATTCTTACAATGGTTGCATGTAAAATCCAGACTATACCTATAACATTATTTTATTGTTGTATCTAATTCTATACTCTCATAACTTTATGCTAAAATATTTTTTATTCTAATATAAGTAATTATTAATAAGCTATTTCAGTTATTATTAATAAATCTGTCGTTATCTGCGTTAAGGTGTCTACTCTACGCTTGTCAACACGTATCATCTGTAATTCTCTCTCACTCTCTCCCATGTCTAATTGGAATGCCTCCCTCATACATAAATCCCATTATCTCAAGTCATTTAAATTTCAATTGAAAGGAGTGACAGATTTGTCATCTTTTGTCCGAAGACGAGTAATGACAATGAGAACAATGATTTAAGCTGAGATGGCACACACAACTGACAGCTAAGCAAGCATCAATTACTGTCACAGCTAAGGAATACAAAAGTCTAAACAAATTCATTTAAAATGTTTGTATGGAAAACTTTGGAATATGTATTTGCGTTTTTTTTTTAAGCCACCAACGAAAATATACAAACCGGAAATGTGTAATTTAGATGGGAGAAAGACATTGTTGTTTGTAATACAAGATAATAAGAAATAAATATAAAAGATGCTAAAGATTTATAACTTTTACAGACGAAGTAAATTAAGAGAAAATGTGGAAAATATATATCAGGAAATTATCAACTGTTGTCCACCATATATACGAGTATATATTACATTTTTTTTATTTATATATTTAAAACAACATTAAAATCAATATAATTATAAGTATTATAATTAGAAGACTGTTGATACCTTAAGTCGATTTTACTTTTATTCAAACCCATTATAAAAATTAAATTTGGCTTATATTTGCCTCGCAGGGAAATCTTAATATACCAATTGACCCAATTTTCATTTTAAATTGGGAACTATTTTATATTATTGCATAGCATAAAAAACAAATATTTACTTCTCCAATCCCCACTTAAGGGCTCCACTCCCGTCATTACCCTACAAACCTACTATAATTTGTTTTATATAAGATGCTCTGCTTCCCTATTGTTTATAAGCACCGTTTAGTGTATATGTA